CAATCTTAAAAGGAAATATAATATTTAAAAAATAAAATTATGATTTTTTAAGGAAGAATTAAACAACTAATAGATTTATTATAAGGAATGATTAATATAATTAATAAATAATAAAATATAATAGAGAAACTACTGAAAATCTTATAGATAATATTAAATAAAGTTAAATTAATATATTTAATAAGAATAATTAAGGGACCTTATTTAATTATAAAAATAATATAAAAAAGATATAAATTTAATATCTTAATTAATTCAGGATATATAATTAATTTAATCCATCCAAGATTGGTTAATATATATAAAATACTATATTAAAAAAAGAAAATGCCTTATCAAGTTAATAACATTGATAGAAGCCTTATTACCTATGATGGAGGAAAAATCAAAAGAGAAATTATAGTTCTTTCTATCTTAATCTAAGGATACCAAGAATTAATATCTTTTAATCTTATTGACATAAATTATAAATTAATTTTAAGAAAGATATGGTTTAGAATTAATAACCTAAGAATCAATTAGGTATATAATCAACTCTATTAGGATAAATTAGAAAAAGATTCAACCCCTAAATATCAGAAAAAAGCCAATTTAAGTAAATCAAAATAACAATTATAATAAGTGTAAATAGGCAACCTCATAAAGCAATATTCCATACCTTTATGCCTTATAATATGATATACAGATATTAAAGAATTAAATGACCAAAAATAAATCAAAATTAAAGAAAAATATGTAAAAATATTTCCAAAATTATTCCAGGATAATCCAAATATGGATATAGGTATACTAGAACATAATTAATATACCCATAAAATAATATTAAAGAAAAGAGAATATCCAAAACTATACCAAATTTATAAATTAAATTAAAATAAATCTAAAGCCTTATATGTTATATTTTAAAATAAGGAAACAAAAGGGTTTATATAAAAATCAAAATTATCAATAGGATACCCAATCTTTTTAATATCTAAAAAGAATAAAAATAAAATATCTAAACTAAATAAAAAAGGAAAAATAATATGGAAGGATGTTTATAATTATTGATAATTAAATAAGATCATAGTTAAAAATAAGCACCTTTTACCATATATTAAGAGTTTAAAGGAAGAAATAAATGATGATAAATGGTTTATATCATTAAATCTAAAATTTGTTTTTAATCTTATATAAATCACTAAGGAAAATGAATAAAAAATAATTATCAAAATATTATATAATTATTTTAAATATTTAATAATGTTATTTAGATTTATAAATACACTAACCATCTTTTAATAAATAATCCAGGATATTCTATAATAATTCCTTGGAAAAAATACTTTTATATATTTAGATGATATTCTAATCCATTTAAAAATCAGAAAACAATATAAAAAAAATGTATATAAAATATTCAAAGCCTTAAAAAAAGTTAAATTTCTTATAGACCTAGATAAAAATAATTTTTTCATCTAAAAACTTAACTACCTTAGATATATAATCTCTTTAGGAAGAATTAAGATCTAGAAATCCAAAATATCCATAATTAAGAAATAATTAATCCTAGAAATCATTATAGGAGTATAAGCTTTTTATAATTTTTATAATTATAATAAAACCTTAATTAAGGATTTTAAGAAAATTATGGAATTAATAATAGCCATAATATATGTTAAAAATCCAAAAGATTTTAAATAGATATAAAAAATAAAAAAGGTATTCCAAGAAATAAAGAAGATTATAATAAGAGATTTAGTAATAAGGTTACCTAATTTAAATAAAAAGAAATAATTATATATCAATATTTTAAATAAAACAATAGGAATAATATTCTAGAAAATATCTAATAATACCCTAATATTATTAGTAATATATCTAACCAAACCATAATATAAATAAGAATAAAGGATTAAAAAAAAAACCCTATAAATTAAGGATATTCTATTAATATAAGATTTTATTATTAAGGATATAATATCATATAATAAAAAAATTTATATATTATTAACACTATAGGAGGAATTTATATAAACATTTAAGAATCTTTAAGATAATTATATAATTATAAGAAATATATGACTTTCTAAGAATCAAAAGGATAGTCAAGAAGATTATCTTAAATTATAATATTTATAATAAAGTTAAAAAAGCTAAATATAAACCATATAGATTTTTATAACTTATTAAGATTCTAAATAAACCATGGGATATTATTATATAAGATTTTATTACCAAATTACCTAAATCATAATATCTAATAATCAAGGAAGAATATAATAATATATAGGTTATTATTAATAAATTTATAAAGTATAGATACTTTATGCTATTTAAAGAAACCTATATAATCAAAGATTTAGCTTTTAAATTTATTAAAAAAATCTTTAATAAACATAGGCTATCAAAGAGGATTATTTTAGATAGAAATAAGTTCTTTATTTTAAAATTTTGGATTAACCTAATAAAAAGACTAGGGATCAAACAAAAGCTTTCTATAATAACTTATCCTTAAACTGATGGCCAAATAGAGCAACTAAATCAGATATTAGAGCAATACCTATAGAATTATATTAATTATAAATAAGATAATTAGGTAGAACTTTTATCATTTGTTATATCCTTATATAATATTTTAATAAATAATATTATCAAGATATCATTATAGGAAACATTATATAAATAATAAGTAAATATAAAATAAAAACCATTAATAAACAAGGTTACCCCAGAATTGAAAATAATACCATCTTAAATAGAAACATTTATTATTAAAATTCTAATATTATAAATTAAATTTAGATAATATTTTAAATTCTTATAGAAACAAATAATAATATATTATAATAAAAAGAGAATTAAAGAACCAATTTTATATAAAAGAAATAAGGTCTATTTTTTATAAAATAAATAATATTTAATATTAAAGATATTATAGATTTAAACTAAAAGATTAAATAAAAAATTAGATTTTAAGAAGTTAAGATCTTTTTTAATTAAAGAAATCTTTTTAAACATAAATTATTATTTATAATTACTAATAAATATAAAATTAAAAACTAATGTATTTTATATTATTATGTTTGAATTAGTGTCTAAAAATGTCAAATTTGAGGGAAGTATTAAATTAGAAGAGGATCTAAAAGAATATAACATTAAGGTCATTTAGGATTCTAAAATTATTAATGATTAAATTAAATATTTTATTAAATGATTTAATTATTTAAAAAAGAATAATATCTAAAAATTATAGGAATATCTTATAAATAAAAAGGTTTAAAGATTAATTAAGGATTTTTATTATTAAAACCTTGATTAATTAAAGTTAGAAAGGCCTTAGTTAATGGTAACATTAGATTAAGATTGAAATTTATTTTGGATTAATTAAAGGTAAGGAAAATTTTAGAAGTTTTAACAAAAGGAATAATAATTGTCTGTTATATTACCTCTATATATTCAGTGTTTTCTAATTCTTTAATATTAATAAACTCTTTTTGGATCATTTTTATATCCTTTTTATTTAATAAATAATATATTTTTTAAAAATGTTATAAATGGAATAATAATTCTTAAAGACAAAGTTCTTTAATTTCCTTTTTTAATTCTAAATGATATTTTTCTTTTTTAATCTAAGCCATGGAATTTATGGGAATTTCTTTTCTATTATATAAAATATTAATAATCTAATATTTATGATATCTATGGATATCAGAAATATTCTTATATATTAAACCTTTATTAAAATAATAAATATATAATATTATTTTAAAATTAGTCTCCTTAATTTTAAGGATTAGATATTTATAATAATTAATAGAAAATAATTTAGAAGAACTGTTATATTTCTTCTTATTAATGGAAATGGATGATATCTTGACAAAATAATGAGAAAGAAAAGAATTTATTAGAGAATTTTTAAAATAAAAGATTTAAGGAAGAAAAAAATAATATTATAATCTAATAACTTATAATTATATTTTTTTAATTAAATAAGATATCAGATATTTAATTATAGAGAAATTATAATAAATAATTTATTTTATTAATTAATAAAACATAATACTCTATCTTATTCCAGAATAGAATAAAGTAAAGGAAATATTACTTTAATTGGCTCCAGAATAAAAGAAAGCAAAATAAAATGGAAGGAAAGATATTAAACTATATAATCATAAGTATTTCCTTTATATTTAATTATTTTTTTTATAAGCTCTTTAATTATTAATCTAAGATTATTCTTTTAAATATAATAAGAAGATTTTAAGCCTCTCTAACAAATAGAATATATTTAATTATTTGACCTATTATTAATACTGTTACCTTCAAAATTAAAAAATCCCGGATTAGCTAATCCAACAATGACTATACCTCTCCAAGGCATAGGTTCGTCACACATTGTTCTCCAATTCTATATTATATATGTTACCTTACAGCTTAGAATGTAACAACAATAACTTAATATTTTATAATTATATATTTATAAATTAAATAAAATAAAAGGAAGTGCTGTTTTATTTAATATTAAAATAAAAAAAAGTAAAAGATAACTAGAAAAAAAGAATATTAAATTATATAATTATAATTATTTCTTATATATTTAATTACTTTTTTTATAATTCTTTAATTATTAATTTAAGATTATTCTTTTAAATATAATAAGAAAATTTTAAGCTTTTTTAACGAATAAAAACCTATTTAATTATTTAATTTATTATTAATATTATTATTTTTAAATTAAGATATCTCGGATTAGTTAATCTAGTAATGACTATACCTTTTTAAAACATAAGTTTATCACAAATAAGTTAAAAAATATTTAAGTTATGACATATATATATTTTATTTTTAACTATTTTATTTAATTAATTATTTAAAATAAAATAAAAATATATTATATTTTCTTTTTTTATCGATAAGCTGCCAGCTGCCACGACAGTCTTGGCAAACACTTTGTAAACATTCTACAAATTAGTCACTTTTATACTCTGTATTTAGTACAGCTCTATTTTAATAGTCTTTCATTATAGATATTCTTCTAGGTCGTCGCATGTCTTCCCCCTATTATCGTGTATTAGTCTGCGACCGTATCTTCACCCGAGGCCATTCGCAGAGCCATTGCCCCCAAAGTACCCAGGATATATATCTGCTACCTTTACACGGTAAATCATCCATGGTCTATGGTGCAAGCTTAGTTGTTATCCTAGTATGACGGCAGCATCTGCGCTTTATATTGTCATGCTTACGTAAGCGATGCCCCTTTTTAGCACCTGGGAGATCGTATCCCACAATTTATCAAAGGTCCCATGCCTTAGCCGCCTTTGCTCCTCTTCAGGACGCCCACGCAGAGATCTCTATGTTCGCTCCGGCGAGTGAGATGCCAATCCGACCTTTGACAATTGGTTTAAAAGGCCAGGAGAAAGAACTACTACAAGAACTACCATGTATATACACAAATGACCCCTCTTCTAAATAATTCCTTTGTCCTTATGTGCGGCAAGGCCTGGCTGAGTGAGTTATTTCTAAATCGATACGTATGAACAAAGTCTAGAGTCAGTTGATTACATAATCAATACCCCTTTTCGTACCTTAGCCCTCGACGAAGGGCAAACGGTAGTGTGCTTATATATTAGCAATGGAATTCCCCAGACATTGGCCCAGACAGATACCCATCCTCGTTAGTAAAAGTCAAATGAAATAGATCCTGTTTATTATGAACCATTTCGGCTAGTTCAGGGGGCAGAGACATAACACCCCATCGAAGCTTACTTCTAGAAAGCTCGAGCAGAAATTCCCGGTCGTGAGAACGGCCCATCTCAGTATCTGTATAGGTAAATAAATGATTTTTGTAGCAAATGTGGGTGTACTTGCCTTCATCTCCTGAATTATCATCAGACGTGGTAGGTGGAACATGAAGATGGCAAGCTGCTGAAAGCACTAATGAATCGCATGCGCCGATGACCATATCACCCGGAATACGACGGATTCCAAATAAAATAGGTATAAAAACAACAATGACGCTCATCGAGAAGAATATTAATATCGCGAGGGGGTAAAAACCCAGGACGGCTTCTGCGCCATTGAGTGCGACGCCGCTATCATAATACGGATTGAATAGATATCCTAAGGTTTTTTCTTGTTTTAGAAAATAAAAATTTCAGAGCGGCGATTTAGGGTGATTACCTCCATAGCTCACGAAGAGAAACGTAGAATTAGAAGCGAGCCAGTGCAAGACTGTACTGGTAATCAAGAGGGGTATGCTATATTTGCAGGGTAACTGGAGCCAATACGTCGAGACTTGTTCACCTGTAGGGTATGAAACTCGAAGGGGCTTATATGGTGTCAAACTGTAAGAGTTGAATTCTTTCTCGGCTACTAGGCGAGTGAAAAAGGAGTTATATGAAAAGAAGCAGTACGATAATATGAACTGCGGTAAATTCGCCACGAGCAACGTAGGCAAATACCCGTTTATGTTGACAAAGCTGCCCACAAAGAATGGCACGCCAGATTCTCCAATACTGTTGCGGCTGCTCCAACGTCAGCATCATGAGAAATCCAAGAACCCACATTACGAGTAACACGGCATTGACTTACCCATCCAGCCTTCTCATAACGTCTACTTGGATAGCGTAATATAACCCGACACACAAGCACAATATGATGGGTGCAAAAGTGCTAGACCAAGCAGATTTCGGGATAGCGGATATAATTTTATTAGTTTTGTGGTTCCTCCAGCGGCGTGGTTGGGTCCTTTCACTAGGCCCCATGGTGCCATCGGACTGGAGCTTCCTATGGGCCCCGGACTGTAACTGAAGACTATCGGAAATACTCAAAGTGCCGAACCCTAGAGTTATAGGATCAGGATTCAAGATAAAAGATCCTAAGGCGTCTCCGAGAGTGACCAGTGATTCGGATAGAAGATAATAAATAATAAGTGTACAAATGAAGACCTTTGAGAAGACGCAGACGATGGTGGCAAGCAATAGGACGTTGGAAAGTTCTACTCGGCAGATGTTAGCAGGCGAGGGTTCGGCTAGACAATACCGCACGCTGAGTGTGTTGAATTTATCATTATAGCCAAGCCGTTCTTTGTTGGGCACGTCGCATGCCGGTAAGGGAGGAGTCCAGACGGATCCCGATGTGCTCGACATATTCGTCAATGGGTAGGCGGTGCCCAATCCAAGCACCCACCCACAAGTGTTCGTGCAAATTGAGGTCTTCGCATCTCTGAATACAGGAGACGTAGTAAGGGTAGTTGCACACTGGGTTGAATACCACAATGAGTTGAGACTATCCCATGGTATGTGATGTTCCCAGGTGGACTCTAACTCGTTATACGGATCGCTGAAGACACCAGACAGCATCCATCCGCCCGATCTATTGGTACCGGTATCAACAACGATAACCACATCCCTATATTTATTTCTCGGTTTGCAAGATGCATATTCTTCTAGGCATTCTTGTGAGGTCATATTATTCCATAACTTGGATTCGTTCGCTGTTTTCGTGATTTTTAGGTTAACAAGTGACGACCTATCCCAATACTCTGTTAGCGCTACGTGCTCTCCAAAGCCCGACATCTTTGAGCACTCCGCGTGATTGTGGGTTGAACTATCCCATCCAGTGCTAGGAATTCCTGCATTCATCAAACTTGCTCCTGGTGGGAAGAAGCTAACTTCCTGAGAGCTAAAAGAACTTGACGCGATAGTAAGGCGCCAGTCCGACCCTTGAAATATTGTTTCGAAGATCGAACTGTTGAAGAAAAGATGGATTGGAATTGAGCTGGCAAGTAACACCACCCAAGCGACAGTTTTTATCCAGGAAACGTAACGAAGGTTTTTGATTGATGAGACCCCTATTTCTAACGACCGAAGTTCAGAATGGGCCCGGTCAATCTCGGCGCGGGACGGAGAACTAAGTATCTGCATAAAGAAACGGAATGATGCGAGGATGAGGCTAGAAACAATGATAAGGAATGCGTGGATTAGAAGTCCGAATCTTTTCGCTTTTACGCAATTACCCTCAAAAATGGTGGTGGTGGAGTAAACGGAAGAGCCTTCTTGCTGGATGGCCCTAACGAACCAGACAAGAAGTACAATTCCACAGCTAAGAGTGGAAATGATACTGAAAATTCCGGTACGTCTCCATCCAGGCGTGCGTATAGAATTGGTTCTGTTTTTCATTATCACTTCTGTGCTGCTATTAGCTACTAGAGAGTGTGATTTCGTGCGGCGCTGGGGGAATTCGGTGGATTAAGAGTTAAACTTAGCTTTATTTACATGGGAATGTTGATTTCAAAGAATCTTCATTGGTAAGCTAGATTCTTTACTAAGGTACGGATGAGACGGACGCCACACCGTCAGATCTTATAGCGGAATCGTCAGCGGTTACACAATCGGCAAATCGGTATACGCAGCTAAGAATCCAAGAATGGATAACCTTGGTCGAAGATAGGACTGGATTTTCATTTGTGAAACTTGTGGCGTCTTACTCCAAGGGGGATGATATGATGTCGTTTCTATTTTAAGGCATTATCATCCATCGGAACAGATCGTTCAACTTTGACGGACACTTTCTTTTTGAGGACAGGAAACCTAGCAATCGTAGGCAGCCCCCAAACTGTCTTAGAAAAAGCAAAACTCGGGCCAGGCGCCGCGGAGTTCGGTGTGTTTATAAAACAAATAACCCGCCTCTGTTGTCTAGTGTGATTCGAACTCTTCTCGTTAGACTGGTACCTAGGTAACTACCTAATAATAAATATGACATTCTTGAATATAGATCGCTCCCGAAGCCAATATGCTATCAACGACAAGATCCTACGACTGATACGGCTTCTAATATTAATATTGGTGCTATGTCTATCTTTTAGTCTACTTTACCCCGATCGTGATTTCAATCTCGCTTCGGTATGTCTTACTATAATATCAAAAGATTCGAATCTAACTAGATTAGGCCGGCTTTGTGTTACTTGGGGCGTTCATACAGGCTTTCGACTTGGATTGTGGTGGTGTATCCGAGATTAGCATGGTCATGCATCTATGCCTCGATTCAGTTTTCGCCCTTACTTCTTCGAGTATGCTATTACAATTAATTCTTCGTGGAATTGTTGATTGGAACTACCAACTGACGATGTGTTTATGGGGAGGCCTTGCGCAAGCAACACATCTCTAAACCAAGACTTACACCAGCTTACCTAGAATTTGGCCAATAGGATGTTGACTGGGGTCTTGCTCCATCGTGATCTTGGGTATTATCTAAAGTTGCGACAAGCGGTGCGACCGCGTATAATGTTCACACCTGAAGGAGATCCCGTATCGGTTACCCCTGACGAAGAATTTATCGTCTAGCCCTTCAATTTAAAGGTATCTACTCAAGCCAAATAAGTTGGTTTTATTCTCTTCTAATAAGACTTCCTATTTAGGGCCCGTTGTTGGTTATCAATAGAGTCTCTTTATAGACCTGCATTATCTCCTGTTAGTTAATGCTTGGCGGATGCTCCGCCTTCGCAATTGGCTATTCCGATGTCGTCAATTAATAGGGCGCGTAGTGGATACGGATTATCAAACGCTTTGATATTTTTTTCCTACGGCGCGGGCCGTTGCTCAAGCTCATGCACCTCCATTCGTTTTTTTTTCTTTTATTCTATCCAACTTCTCACTTTTCTTGTAGGTAAATTATACGAGAGTGCCTAATATGGACGAAACGCAGCCCCTTCTACAAGATACGAATTTAGTATACGTCGAAAGAGAAGATGATCCTTCAAGTAAGGATATCGTCGACTTCGACCCCAATGGCGATGCGGAGAATCCTATGGAATGGCCATTGGCCTATAAGTGGTTTATATCTGGTCTGCTCGCTTTTATGGCATTTACTGTGTACGCGATACTCTTTAACCTCAAATTGGACATCGCTGACCCCCATTTTAGGACGTTTACGTGTGTTTCCGTTGTGCCCGTTGCATCACGTATTGTGAAAGATCTCAACCATGGTCAATCTAGCAAATCCGCAAGTGTGCTTCTAGTGACAATTTGGGAACTTGGTGAGGCCGCTGGCCCATTGCTCATTGCGCCATTATCTGAAATTTTCGGACGCTATCCCGTTATGAATGCTGCCAATGCGCTTTTCATAGTAGCAACGATTCTTGCAGCAATATCCCAAAGCACGGCCCTTTTTATTGCCGCAAGAACTTTGACAGGACTCGCTGTAGCCTCGAATGTGTTGAACCCCGCCATCGTCGGGGACATATTTGCGAAGGAACAGAGGGGCTCCGCTATGAGCATGATCCAACTCGCTCCCTTGATCGGCGGTGCGGTTGGACCGGCTATCAGTGGGGCCATCGCCGAAACTATGGGTTGGCGAAGAACCATTTGGATGAGCGTAATTCTCGCAGTTATATGCGAAGTAGCATTCTTGACCAGCTTTCGGGAAACCTACAAGGTTCCTATCCTGAGGCGGAAAGCGGCTAGGCTCCGGCGTGAAACTGGTAACACCTCATTGCGGACTGTATTTGACGCAGATGACGGTTCGCAATCGGAGAAATTTTGGGACGCTATCGTCCGACCTTTTACTGTCCTGGCCGGTTCCAGTGTCCTACAGATCTTGTCGGTGTTTGGCTCCGTAGTTTTCACCTACTTTTACATCATGTCCACTACATTACCCGATATCCTCGAGACGACGTACGGTCTTTCACCCGCCGAAGCAGGATCGGCTTTCATGACCTATAGTATGTTTGTGTATCCCAGGTGCTAGAGGCAAACATTGCTAACAAACTTGCAGGCGTCGGCTCGGTTATCAGTGTAATCATATGCAACCTAACTCTAGATAGGATTTACATCAAACTCCGTGACTCCAATAAAGGAGTAGGCCAACCAGAGTACCGGCTTCCTCTTGTGATTATTGGCGGTTTCACACTGCCCATCATTGTCGCATGGTACGGATGGGCTGCTCAGCTACAACACCCAATTTCAACACTCCTCCTATCCGTCGCCATGGTTGGCTCTACGATGACAGTACGTATTCAAGATAACCCTAGAACATAATCCCCCGAGGCATCACGGATTGCCCCTCCTCTTTCCCATCCTGCATCGGGATATTTGCTAACCCCACACTACTAGTTTGGATTCTTGCCCTTCTACGCATATGTCGTAGATGCGTTCGGACTCTACGCTGCTTCTGCCATGACTGCAGTAATTGTTATACGATGTCTAGCTGGCACATTCCTACCCCTTGCTGCTGGATCGCTTACTAATAAGTTTGGCTATGGTCTGGGCTTTTCTATTTTAGGAGGGGCTAGTCTTCTCCTTGCCCCTATTCCGATATTCGTACTCAGGTACGGGGCGAAATGGCGACAAGGATCAAAATATACCAGAGACGAATAAGCAACCTGATTCCCCTCGAGACATGCATAGAAGGCCCGGTATTTACTTAATGATTAATAATAGAGTTCTAAATAGAAACGAACACATCCATATCCCAAAGATACGTGTTACCCCTCAACTACTGGGACAGCCAGCCTCGTGACCATTCATCAACCACTCCGATGCAGTTACAATATAACTCGTTCATTTTATTCGCATACCGTCTCATCGCTGTTCTGTTTGCATGTCATCTGAGGACCGTACGGCTTAACGCCACAAGCCCCATAAAGATCAGCCGAGCCACCATGACACTCATAAATATTGTTCGCCTCGTCTCTAGATCTCGATCAGCATTTATTTTCGCCTGGTATTTCGCATTTGGGGAAAACTTACCTGCCATCTCCGCACAGATGAGCGCCATCGTTCCATCCCTGGTAATTAGGGGTACCGCAGAGTCCTAGTCCGACGCCCAAAGTCGCGAGGACGAAAAGAGTGGAAGTCTTCATTATGGTGTAGTGGTTCTCGCTAAGGTAGTGGTAATTGACGGTTTGTTCGTAAGGTTGAACAAAATTTACTCGAAGGGAAAATAAAGGGCGAATGGAGGCAACTTATATACCACTTGAGCAAGGAGGATAAACTCTTCCAGGCGACCCACGGACACGTCTAAATATATAATCACCCCTGTATTTGTTGGTTCTGTTGGTTGAAAGATTCAAGACCAAATTTGTCCTTGGCCCCTAATATTAGTTGTGATCAACGATATCCTGTCCATTCCAACAATGGCGGTGACCAAATATAATTGCGATTTAGACTAGAAAAGCTATTACGCAACTCATAAGGCACAGCTTATAATTTTTCAAGTACACGACCCCTGTCATGACTCCAACCATATGAGGGGGTTAATAACTCTGTTGTTGCGCGAGGAGATCGCAAGTAACTGCTACGGAAGCTATAGTATACATACAAGAATGACTTCTTTGTTCCAAGGACTCCCTTGCCTCCACATCGGCGATAAGGAGTCCCTCCGATACTTCCCAGGATGTATCCCTTTGTATGGCTTTAACTACTGACAACCCCTATAAATTTATAATAAAGTTGATTTTGGTTTCACTACTTCCGAATATCGTCATACGCGTTTCTTCTTTTGATCGTACTAGTAAGCATCCTTGAGTTGGGGTTATGATCAGGGTTAGGGTTGGGGTTGATGACACCAACACGCCACAAATGAAGACATGGTCCTTATTTAAATATATAGGAAGCGCTTCCCCAACAATGAGGGCTAATTGTCTTATGGCGCAGTTATTGCATCTAAGTTTAACATGTTACACTTATGTACCTATATGTGGACAGTTAACCGCTACACCTAGACAAGCATCGGGCGGGACTCAAGATACCTGGGTAGAGAACCAAGGATTAGGTATACTTCTGAGTATTTAATCTATACGAAGAGAGCCTCATTTCTTATAAGGGGGTATGGTCAATCTTTGGCCATTCAGTCAACATGGTATGATTCTCGCCCTCCACTTGTATTCGCGTGCTTAACACCCAGCCATAGCTCGACACCCATGGCATCTGGTGTTCTACAACGAGACTCCACAATTGAAAAGCTTTCAATTATCTAATAAATTCGTGCTAACGTTCCATCAGTTACGCGACTTACATTATACTAGAGCTAAGTTCGTTTCTATTTAACCGACGAATTTTCCAGTCTCGTCTGCCTCGTCTCAAGTTAACGTCACATCTAGTTAGGTTACCCATAGTTTATAAGTATATGCTACGGAATGGGCTAGGCAATTAGCATATCAAGGGTAATTCTAATAATATTCTCTTCCACGAATACGAGGATGTATTATTCCCCGCAACGTGCACACATCATTCGTGCGCGTCGTAAGCGAAGAGTATATAATATAGAAAGCTTGACTCTAGTGCGAGCTATCACTACCTTTACGTAATACTTCGTATAGTATCAGTATATATAAGCCAAAGTATCCATCCGGGGGAGTGCCGAACCTAACCCTCAATCCTTGGTTGTACCACAGCTACTCCAGAATCCTAACTCATTATACTTGAATCCACCCGAATCGTCATAACAAATACTATCTGTAGGTAGTTAATACGCTGCCACCATCAGGATGAAGTTCAGTGTCATCTCCTCCACGCTCCCTATGGCACTGAGTGTCAGTATACCCCGTGCTATACCCACAGGTTCTTGGTTAATTAGCATCGAATCAAGATATCCATTATATCTATTCGATATCATTCAAGCCAACAATGGTGGGTTCTGGTACAATAAGGCACCCTCATCTAACTGTCCGGACGAGGTGGAAGGTCTAGATTGCTCAAAGTATCCTGGAACCCAGACTGCTTTCATTGAAGGAAGTGTAAATGGCACTGTTTCTTTAGATGTTGCCGTTCCTGGTGGCCAACAAGGTGCGGAAATAAATGCAATTCATTCATTACTAATTAATGTATTGACCGTATTCTCAGTGTACGTCGCCCCTGATGGTGCCTTGTCCTACACCACCCCTCATTCCGCCGCACTTCCCGAAGGAGCCATCACCACCGGCTTCCATCGCTACAGGAGTGAAACGTTCGGCGCCCCAATTATGTTGTCATTTGCGGGAAAGAGCATTGTTGCATGCCCTAGTCCGGAGTCTAAGGACGTCTACCAGATATATGTTGGTGGTACCAACGGTCAGAACTGTTCCTGGGTCAATGTATATGCCGAAACATCAAGTTCTGATGCGTACGAATTCACTGCTTAGGAACTCTAGTTTTCATTATATGGAGGGGGCCGAAATGTTTTCTAGGATAATAAAGCAATTACATGACAATTATGGGCAAGTCTGCACTCCCCCTTTCTTCCCTTTTTCTTTTTTTCCTGCTTCCCTTCTTCCTTTTTTTCATTCGCTGTATGACGCAGCAACCAACGTATACATCATATGTTCAAATATATAATTCCTTTTAGGCCGTTGTTGTCTAAGAGTCTAAGACCTAGCAATGACTCTGTGACATACATTGGCAAACACAAGTGCTTGATGAAACATAGCATTTGACGATTTCCTAATTCGAATGAACATAACTGCTAACATTACACTTAAAATCCCAACATTTATAAACAAATCTATTAATTAATGTTATGTAACTATCGACAATGCAGCATCTCTATCATTCTCTCAGAGACGTGGTCTGTGCGCCATCGCAACTATTCGGTCGTTGGTTCCGATAGTCATGGACAGGTCACTTCCTGATTTTTACATCCTCAAATCAATACAGTTGCTTCCTAGTCATCGCTTTAATCAGGCGGGAGTTGCCGGGAAGCTTACACAGATAGTTGCCGCGGGTACTATCATGAAGTATGGCAGCTTCTTTTCTTGTCGCGTTTAGATTTGTTGACTCTTCAAGCTCATTTCATCGGTAGACGCGTTCTAAATCGTTCAAACCACTACCTAATTTGCCACATACATCAATCAATATGTTTATCATATCGATCCTACCCGCATAAACATCCATTTAGAAACTTAAAAATACATTTTATTGGATAGGCGCAATCATGGGTGGCCAAGCTTTCGCATCGGGTGAAGATCCCCTCTACACTCCGCGGATGTCTCCTGCCGCATATCAGCACGTCCTCAACTATTGCCACACCAAACTACGGGAGCTTTTCGTCGCAGTAGCTACACCGATTCCCGGACCTGCTAAGGATAGTTATGGTGATATTGATATTTTCGTCACATGGGAAAAGAATACTATCTTTCCATCCTCTCAAGCCATAAACCCGCTTTCGCCGATCGCATCACCAAATCATGATATCCTCCAGGCAGCAGCACAACTTCTCAACGCCAAACGACATATTAGAGAACAGCAGAACGTCATCAACCTAGCTATACCATGGCCTGATAACCTACACGAGGAAACAAGCACCGATAACTCACAACTCAATGGGGATGCGGTCGCACCTCGCTACATCCAAGTTGACCTCCACCTATGCGATTCAATCGAGCAGCTTCAATGGATGTTAGTCAGGAACTCCCACGGCGGCGTCTTACTCCTCATCGGCAGCACGATCCGACCCTACGGACTCACACTCAGCGAACACGGCCTATACATCCGGATCCCCGAAATCGAAAGTCTAAACAAAAAGCAAGGTAAGATCCTCCTCAGCGACGACCCCATCGCCGTTTTCGATTTCCTAGGCCTAGACTACCAAGGTACACAATGGGAAGAGCCCTTCGCATCGGTAGAAGAATTATTTGAATACGCCGCCACATGTCGCTTCTTCTGGGTTCGTCCGGCGGAAGACGATGGCTTGAATGGGGGCGGCGAGGTGGACCAGAGTAAGATGCATTCCAAAGAACGCCAGACGATGAGACAACATCCCTTTTTCCGAAAATGGGTCCATGAATTCATACCCGCATGTCGAGAATCAGGACGCATCGGAACAACCACCGCAACACGAGACTCCGTGCGCGCGGAAGCATTCGCTCGCTTCCCGGGCGCACAACAAGCTTATGAAACGCGCCTCCTTGAATGGCGCAAGGAGCAGCAACGCGTATGGCTTTTTCGGGGAGTTATAAAGCCGGCCGTTCCAAGAGTTGAGGGAGAGGAACCGAGTCAGGTTGATATGATGTGGCGGAGCAAGGCCGGTAACGCGCTCAAGAAGATCATCATGCAGGATGATTATAAGCTTGGTATACGTCCATCTACACCGCTACGCGATGAAACGGGGATGTATGACGAGGAACGGGTGAAACAGTTTGTCATAGACAACTGGAAGCAAGTTGAAGAAGCCGTGCAGAGGGCCGATCGGATACAGTGCGCTAAGAAGAAAGAGGCGAAAGAGGCAAAAGAGGCTGAGGGTATATCGTAGGGTATGTAGAAGCGCATATTCGCGGAGGAACTTGTTAAGATGACTGGCTCCCGGTAGCTTGGTAACGAGAAAAAGGAAGCAAAGAAGGAGTAACAACAATTGATTGTATACCAAGAACAAATAGTGAGCCTAATTGGAGGAGTGTTAGGATAATGCCGATTAATTAGGCATGTTTGTTCTACAATTTAAAATCCGCATTTGTTTTCTCCCATCCCTGTTGCGAAGGCTCCCTAGAAGCCACACGCTCCGCCAACTGAAGCTTCAGGTTCTTATGTCTATCGGTGCAAAGTTCGTACATCGTAGTCAGGTTGAACAATAGCGTGTGCGACGTTTGGCCCGCGTCGACTAGTCCTTCTAAGACATCCTTTGCCTAGTAATCGTTAGCAGCCACGTAGATAATAGTATTATGAACACTTACCTTAGCCATATTTCCCGTATAAAGCAGGCAAACCGCCAAATTCACACCAACCATCTCATCCTGCGCACCACCCTCCCTCAACACCTGCCACTTCTCCAACGCACTTTCATACTCCCCATCAGCCATATCAGCCAACGCATCCACAATCCTCTCCCCAATCTCTCCACCCTTCCCATCCCTCACACACCTTCTCGCCGCCTCTACATCACCAAGGTGCAACCACAACAACGCCCGACTCATCGCCAACCTACCATCCGCACCAATCTTAAAAGTCTGATCTCCATCCCCTAACGTAGATAAATGCTCCGCCGCACCCGCTAGATCATCCATTTCAACCAACGCGCCCGCAACTTTAACCCCGAGCTCCGCAAGCCTACGCTTCCAAGTCTCAGCCGCAGAATGATCATGCGCTTTAACAGCCTGCACGATATGAATACGCGCTTCCCGCGCAAGTTCGTAGTAACTCATAACCGCGCGTCGCGGGTCCCCAAAGCCAATAGCCTGTAGCCGCACACCGAGGACGCGCAGCTCCCAAGGCACAAGATGTGCGCCGGTTAGCGGGTCCATGTAGAAGGCCGAGTTCAGATCCTCAAGCGCTTTGGATTCCTGGGCGGCGAGCGAGGCGGCGTCGATCAAGCACAGGCAGGCTAGACGCGTGTACAAGAGTTCGAAGATCCGGGCGGGGTCGGAAGATAGGGGAGTGCTGGGGCTGTTGGGTATGGTGAGAGCTTGCACGGCGGCGATGGCGGCTGCGCGGAAATGACCACCACGGAGGAGCTCCGGGATAGGTGTTTCGGGGGCGGGTTGCCGTGAGGGAACGCGGAAGGGAGCTGGTACTGAGAGAGGCGAGAGTTGGTGGTAGATCTCCGGTCGCAGGAGAAAAGAGAAGTCCTTGGCCATCGCTGTAGATGATGTGCTAGGCGGCGCCGGAGACCGGGGTGTGGATGACCGAGGCGCCATTGATAGACTCGTCCGTGGGCCAGCCTGTTGGCTCCCGGCGAAGCGGGCCGCCTGGGACGGGACTGGGGATGTTATCGGAGCACTGCGATCGGAGTTAATGAGTTTCCTCGAGATATATGACGATGACCTACTCATTTGCATCGAGGGGTCCTTTCGTCGACGATCTAGGCCGAGAAGCTAAAGATCGGAATACGTCAGTAATAGGCGAATATGACATTCTTATCATACATGAAATTAGATTTTCTTGAAAGACGAGAAACAGACGATGCGGTAAGAAAGAATAAGGGAGGATCGACACGACGTGGGGGACACCATATCCATTCTCATAGGCCAGCAGCGCCCGCAGTCAATCAACGGCACGGCATTTCTACTACATTACGATGGAAACTACCATCGTAGGTTACCAGCCTATCATTCACACCCCCAGTACTTCAATTCGATCGTCAAACGCCCGTTAATTCTTAACGCCGTATCTGATTCCGATTCCCACATTATGCAAGTATGAAGAATATGAAGATTCAAGATAAGAGAAATGAAGATCTACTCACGTCTTGCCCCTGATTTATTTCTTGCATGTCCCTTCGGAGGATTTGCCTGTATTGACTGATCCATGGTCGACCGACATCTTAAGATAGATGAAATGATGAAATGAAAAAGAGTTGACGTCACATCGGCGCGACGCGATGGAACGACTTTGATTACTAAATTCGGATGAATGCCGGTAGAACTCCAGCTAAGGTTTCGGAACTATCCGATGGTATCTATACCGGTTCACTGCATATTTTGCTTTTAATCATAACAAGTATGTAAGTAGTGGAAAAGGGGTCATCGGAGATGCTCCGAAAGGCAGGAAGTTGAGTTCACGAATATAATTATTATATAACGTTGATGTTTCTATATCGATGAATACGGGTTTATGGTTTAAATACCCTTTCATGACTATTTCTGTGAATTCTTGCAGAAAGTCTTGTATTTTGTATCGCTGCGAAATAGATATGCCTATGTACATATATACAAATATATAATGGTATCATATATCACACCAAAGTGTACATTATTCCTCGTTAACACTCGTGGAAAATTCCATGTCGAGTATAACTCATAATCATCAAGTCGTCTCCACCTTAACCAGTCAGGTTGAAGCTGGAAGGACCGGTGTAGCTCTCAACAACGGCGTTGGGCTTATCGGAGATAGCAAGCTCATCCTTGGGGATGAGGTGAGTGCCCGTCTGGTTGCTTGAGGGTGTGACGGGCTGCGAGACCTCGAAGGTCAGGCCGAGGTCACCTCGGGTCACTGAGAAGGTCCTGGAAGAGAGGCTGCAGGTGCCTTCTTGGACGTCGGGAAGAGTGCCATCAAGGTTGCCGGGGACCAAAGCCGTGCAGTTGACGGGTGTGGTCTCAATGGTACCAGGCTGGATAACACTGAAGGAGTATCTTGAAGTGCCTGTTAGTATGTTTATGCCATGGTGTAGGCGCAAACGAAAGTAGTATACTCACAGGCATTGGGTGCTGTGGGGGATGCACCCGGCAGAGAAGCGAGAGACAGCGAATACGTCGTATCGCTTGTTAATAGCAGCTGCGGAGGTAGCGACGGCGAAAAGAGCGATGGTAAACTTCATTTTGACGAAAGTTTGATGTGGACTTTTTGAGCGAATGTAAAGTCGAAACTTGGTTGATTAATTAGATAATTATCCGTAAGTTGTTGGATGAGGCTCAAGATGCTTTTAAAGCATGCAGGATGCAGACGTTTATATATCTATGTTATGCGACTTTGAGTCTCATCGGAAGTGGAGCCGATGATGGTGATCGGCGGAGCCAGTGACGCCGGGCATAAACATCAAATCTCGTATTCGGCGGGGTCGCAAAGACGTTGCCCCTTTCAAATTCCTTGATTTTCTGGATTGCCATCCTAGTTACTAACTCGTCCCTATACGCCTAAATCGTTGAGTTGTTAGAAGGGTATAGGTAGCATTTTTGAAACGGCATATAACGGAACTTGCCGACGCACCCCTTAAATATTAAAAGTCGAACGAGTAAATAATCAACTCAAACATATATAGAGATAAATCATCATGATTATTTGGAGGCCGAATATTCGTGTGGGATAGACTTAATTGCCTTGTCTTTATTTGCATACACGTAAGTCGCGTATGAGCCTAGGTTGTGGTGCCGGTACTTGTCCCGGTCCGCTCCCCTATCCGTGTATGAAGCCGGCTTCCGGCCCGCCGCCGTGACCACGAGTCATGGCGTCACAAATGTATAATCAACTAGACAATTTCTGGACGATGCTCGCGAGATTTAGGCGTTCTTAACCCCAGAATAAATTAGCATGATGGGAAACTGTGTTGTCTACTCCATGTTAGACGCAAAATTCTTCTTTGGAAGATATGTTATTGACAGTGCTGGAGACTAGGTATTTCAAGTTATTTTGGGACACATCTACAGATATTTCTTAAGTATAAGCCAATACCTTCCATCCCTGTTACCTAGGTACATTCTCCAATATTGCAAAGGTTTTCTTTTCGTTCACCCCTTGCCTGGACTCAGGTCACTGATCACCAGTCACTAAAGCAATTTATGATGTTATATATTGCTTAATTTTATTTTTTCGGACTGCTTTGCAAGTGGTAAAATAGACTTATCTATCCACACGAGTTTCATTCCTAAGTCCGGAGCTACGGTGTCGATGTCGGAGAGAATTATATACGACGGGCTGAGTGAGCCACCAATTGGATTCCTATAGGCTCGTCTTGCGTCACAAAGGGCAACACTGCTTTGTTCCTAGGTTTTAGGCAATCCAGCCGAAAGTAATAATGAATTTTCTCGGAAGGGCCACAGTACTGTTGATATTCATATAAAACGGGGCGTCTATTTCGATTTAGACGCCTTGTTCCAAGTGACTTTTCATTGATGTCTGTTTTGTAGGTATCCTTCACGGAGTAAATTAATGTCTAGCTTCTCTACTACACGTCTCGTCGTTGATGAAATATATTGCCCTTGATGATGTAACATAATCCACATTAACATACCCAAAAACCTCGTATAAGTCCTTGTCGTGCCAAGGGGATCTAGCCGAACAATCAAAACGTTGGGCTCCGAGGACACAAATCTATGACATCGATTGAGGTAGCCTATTATATCCTAGTTTCTATTAGATATTTCGTTAATAGACGCTTATTTGCCCATCATCTAATCTTCACTACCTTACAGTTACACTGAGTCTCCTTATAGGGAACTGCACTCATGCACTGGAGAAGTCTGAAGAACATGGGTCGATAGAAACGACAAAGAACGCTTCGAAATTTGAGGAAATGAAAGACCCGTAGCTAACGGGTTTATATCGTTGATGTTGAATTTAGTTATCGTCTCTCTAGCTATACTTAATGAATTGTAGAGCTGAAGGTTCTATGTGGTCGCATCCTAGTACATAGGTATCTTATATGAAAAGGGAAATTTGAAAACTACAATAAACTTCCCGCTCTTTTCAACCAAATCCCAATGTAATGCAAACCCCAACTATTATTTGGTAACAGAACTGGTTGCTCTCCCCCCTATTTTATCTAGACCTCACTTGAAGAATATGCACTTATACATAGTGGGTATTTGCTCCACTTTCGGGTTTGGAAAATTGTTGATCCACCTATATTCTTTTTCCTTGCCAATTGCTTAATTGAATTGAATTATTTCCTCGTGTTTGTTTCCCACTATCTGATCACGACAATTCTCAAGCCCCAGACTGCACAATTTCGAAACACCGGCCGATACGGTTTCGTTCGAAGCTAGGAGCTAATTCTCGATAATCGAAATTTGCGTCGGGAGCAATCCCCAGTACACCGGTCTGAAATACGCCAAGTAGGAGGTTGAAGAGCTTGGGGTCGCGGGGAGTCGCTTGGGACCTTAATTGGTGAGCGGTATTTGGCGTTGGAAAAACTAAGGAGTACGAGAGCACGTATTATCCGGCGACTACGGCGGGTGACAGCGGTTGGAAAGCCTTTTGCACACCAAACGACCTAGGTGGAAATCTTAGGCGGCGAGCCTCCAATCCAACACCATGTTCAGACCTATATCCCGTGGCCTCTTCACGGGGTCGCCCCGCGCCTCCCTTATCCCATCAACCCAGACCACAACTGCTGCGGCGACGTCCTTATCTCTTCAAGTAGACTCTACGTCTCGCTCGATACATACCACGGCTCCCCGTACGGCTTACCAGAATCCAAGGGCACCGGGCTTTAGAGGCGGCGATCCGAGGACCGAGAAGAAGGGCAATGCTCCTCCGCCCGATCCTCGAATCACGAACCTGAAAGTATCTATGCCCCGTACCGTTCCCGCTCCACTGCGATTCGCGCGTAACCGCTATCTACGCCACTGGACTATACATAGGGCTTGGCAATTATACCAGCGCCAGGAGCGGGAGAGGGAGCAACATGAACTAGAAAGGTACGCTGGATCTTAGCTTCTCTCTTCCGCCTGCATGCTATGATGGGATTAGTGATATGCTGACATCTCGCACAGGATGTACCAATCGATGCATAACGCCTGCGAGGAATTGCGTAAGACGAGCGGACCGGGTACACGTGACGAAGGATACCTGTACCGCGTGGCTATGGAGAAGAAGGGTGCTTATGGACACAACGGTATACCGATCGAGTACGCAAGACCGCTAACCGAAACGCCAGCTCGCGAGCCTTGGAACTACGACTGGAAGCGGTGAGAGCAGTCCCGGCCAGGCGGAAGGCGTGTGTAAATATTATGTAAAAAGTCTAGATTGATCTATGCCGTAGAACGTTCTTCGGCGTCACGGACCTCGGGAAGTGATGGTATCCAATGAGATCGCTATTGAACATATCGCGTTTTCTTCTCAATCTTGTTGCTACCGTTGGATCCGCCACTTGGCCTTGACGTGCTGAGATGTGGAGAGATGAGATTGACATCATTTGATGATATAGATGCATGCATTCTCAAATACACATACCCGGCACGAATCTTGAATTTTGTACCGATGATCCTTTGCGTATAGTACTCCGTAGTTAATAGACGAGTAAGGGGCCTTGCGGGACAATCACGAAGGAACGTTACAAACAAATTGTCACTTGGGAAATTTGGTTTTCTCGATTCGACGCCCCTAATATCCACATCTGATTCTCTCCTCACTGCAGGGAATGAATGCATACGTAGTATGTAAATAATTCCAGGATCGCCCTGCTAATTAGTTTATTCAGTCTGTTTTGCTCCAATCCGGCCAGATAGACCGATGCGCAACTCTAGCTTTTTTTTTAGTACGGTCGATTCCGTATCGTAAGCGAAGGTATTTCATTCCAGGTCTCATGCTATATCTCCTTCTCGATAGTCTCGACGGATAGATATGCTAGATCGATAGTTGTAATATTGGTATGTAAGGTAGGTAATTGTTGGTAGATTGGTCCTGGTATGACATAGGTTCGCCGTATGTCGTAGTGGGTAGCTGTCTTCAACCTCCGAAAGCTCGCTTGCTTTGGTGTGGCACGCAACTCCCATTGCGCCTCCGTCTCGTCTCTTCCCTTCCTCCACCTTCCTTCTCGCTTTCCAAGACGATAAACGAAAGAACAAATATTCAAGATATCATTGCCGCCGAACTCCCCCACATGGCTACACCCTTTTATAATAATAAAAATTTTGAGATATCGTCCCCGATAGATAGGCGCAAATACATCCGCTCGTACGCTCATACTCAATCACTCACATTACAACAACCGCTACTGCCGCTTTAATCATCGTTATATACCCGCTTCATAATATAACGCAGCAACCACCACCCTCACCCTTCTCGAAGGTAAGCAGGGCGGCGCGAGTAGCAGCTTCGAAAACATCGTCGACACCCTCACCGCTCAAACTAGAGCATTCGAGGTATTTGCGCGCGCCGATCTCCTGTGCGGCTTGTTCCCCTTGGCGTTCCGTTACGAATTTCAGACTCTTCTTGCGCATCTCTTCGATCGCTACGGGGTCATCGCGGAGATCCTTTTTTAGCCCGACGAGGATGATGGGGACGCCGGGGCAGCGCTCGGTTGCTTCTTCTATCCACTATTATTCCAGGTATGTTAGCCCTTCTATAATCTCTTTGCAGTGTGGTGATGCACGTGGGCTCGAGAAACGAGGGAGGAAAGGCGCCTGACCTTATGTTTAACATTATCCAGGGAATCTGGCGACTCGATCGAGAAACCTATTAGTAAAACATGCGCCTTCGAGTACGCGAGCGGTCGCAATCGTTCGTAGTCTTCTTGCCCGGCCGTATCCCATAATGCTAATTGTACTGACTTTCCGTCTACTCTGCAATCCGTAACGTAGTTCTCAAATACGGTCGGGATCTAAGAGGTAAGGGAGCCGATCGTTAGTTCGTCCATCTCGCAGTAAGACTAGGTCTAGGTAGGTATGTAGGTATGGTTTCCTTACGTAGTGCTATATATAAGTTGTTAGCAAACGTTATGCATCGAAGATATTAAGGGGTGGACCGGGAATAGGGGTAAAAGACGTACAGTTGGGAAGTACCCCAAAGTGAAGACACTCAGTAAAGAGGTCTTGCCGCAAGCTCCATCGCCAATGATGACTAGTTTCCTAAAAACCGAATCGAATTAGTAATGCGGTAATCAAGACCCAACGTGGTCTCAGACAAGATCGTGGTGCAGCGTGCAGGGTTCGCGATGGTTATCGTGCGTGCACTCGTGAGGCTGGGTAGATTTGATGACGAGTGAATGATCGACGACCGAGGAATTTTGTGGGAGAACGTACCTGCGAATGACATTCTGCGGATTCGAACTCGCCATTGCTCGACGCGACAAATAATGCCAATCCCGAGGGGGCCTTTAACTAATTCTCGTTCGTCCGGGTTATCGTCGTCGTAATAAAGTTCTTATTCGATTCGGTTTTTTGCGTAAATATTTAAGAACGCACGGACTAGCGAGGAATCTAGAAGTTTGTTGTCGTCGTTCCCCCGGTTCGGGGTAGCGTCACCTCTGTTCGTGGTGGATGGTGGATGGGTGGATGGGAAATATGTAGGCGTAGATTGATAGGCTTAGGCGATAAAACGTTGACGTGAGTCTAAGCTACCTCGATAAAGCTTCGAGGGACTGTCTCCGCGTCGGGTTGCTAATCCTGAATAGATCGTCGTCGATGTGGGTGTTCCCAATTTTCCTAATGCAATATTTCACTTCTTTTTTTTCTTGGTTCTACTATTCACTTTCTTCTGTAGTTCACCCTGAGGTTAAGATAGGTATGTTTGGGTTAGAAAAATTGTCGAAGACGAAGAGGCCTACGAAAGGCCTGGACAGGACCGGGTTTCGCGGTAGAATTTAAAGTCTCCGTTAAAGGATTCCGCTGTTCTTAGTCCGTGTTAGGATCCCTTGTAACTTGCAATTCAGCTTCAAAAATGGGGCGTTGTAATTGGTCAGGTTTTGATGCCAAACTTATCAGTTACCAGAGAGGCCTAGCTGTACAGGCTGTACTAGACAAATATAGCAGCTTTAAGAGCCAAGAGACTTAGCGAGTGTAGGAAAGGTGGGAGTCATGTTTGACACTACACTCGACTTATATAGAGGTTTCTACCCTTCGTAATAGAGTAGAGAGAACTTGCTCAAAGGTATCATTATTACTCTCGAACACAACATGCTGGACCGATGGAAAAGCTGCAAGATGCCGCTACTGAGATGTAGCCATGGAAAACCCCGAAAAAAGCTGCTACGTTACAAGGGTCAGCTTGATCAAACAGAATCTTCGGTCTGTGCCACAGGCCTGTAGGTACCTAAGCTAACAACAACGTGCTCTGTAATTGCCCTTCAGCGTTCGACACGATTGGTCTGGTCCAAACTCGATATGGGCTGATGGGCATCGATTAATAAGTATCCAGTGAGTTGGCTGCCAGACAGACTCTGGGGGAACCAGTGAACGATGAGGAATGGGAACGCGATGCTTGTTCGTTATTCGGCCAGTTAACAAACCAGCATTTCATACATATGCTGCGAAAGTTTGTCTGACGACTTTGTGTGGACCCCCAATAACACGCAGTTGGCCTCTTCATGCACTCATGCACTAAGGCAGCTGATTCTCGCAGGATGAAATAGCCTATATCAATACTTGGGTAGGTAGACACAACGTCTAGAGCTGTCTATTCGGACAACGTATAGGAAGCAAATACAACTTAGCTGATGGAGCTGACCGCTCCCCATCTTTGACGCGTTTGGTCGATTAAGATCGGCCAACGGCTGCAGGTCTCAGCATGAAAAATTGGGTGGTGCATGTCTCGATGCATACTACCCATCTCGACCTTGGTGGGAGGTGCAAATCACGGCCATGTCCCACCGCACACTTGTGAGGGGATCATAGAGAAGATATCGAGCATACGGCATCGAATTATTATGATTGGACTTCCATCGACTAATAGTACTTAGGTATGAGCAATAGTTCCCGACGCGGTGTTTTTCGACAAGTTGTGTTAGGTCTACCAGTTAATTGACTTGCCGATCTGACGTAGCACCCTACGGATACGGCACGGTATTGTATGTTTGATGATACCGATAATACTGACAAGTGACTGAACTTACTGATAAAATTTGCTGTCGGTAGATAAGGGAACTCCATGTTATGTCCATATTACGGAAACATTGGGTCCTAGCTCTGGTAACAACATGTGTCCTGTTCCAAGGCCTGAAGCTAGGTACTGAAACTGTCAATTTGTTTTAAAGGGGCTAAGATACAACTCCTTTATGGACGGCACACGGTAAAAAATTGCGAGGGATGTTTCGTGGGGGGCTTGGGTCCAATTCCGGCCTGTAATGATGTCCGAGCTGCGATGAAAGAAAATGGCCATAGGGATAAAATAGGTAGTCATGCGTTCTATGTCTAAAAGGTGGTGACTCCGACTGGTCTCATTTCCATGGTGGCTCATTTCTTGTTTGTAGAGCTGCGGATGAGATGATGTCCGAGGACGGTCTGACCAAGTGGCTGTGGATAACGGACCGTTTCATGTGTCTCTATGTTTATGAATGAGCTTCAGTTAAGTTGTTACCTACATACCTAAGTAGGTAGTGAGCCGGCAGCTTAAACATGTTCCATGAATAGTATATGAATTTCGCAATGTAGGTCACGTCGGTAACATTGTATAAAAGCCGGCGGAGATTATAGATTTGTAAACAAGAATTAAGAACTGACGAGGAAAATTAGATACCTAAATAAGCTAAGCTCAAGTACCTAGCCATCAAGGTGTTGTTCTTGGTTGGTACAAATTGGTTCTTCCCAATTGATGAATTGATGAGCTTGTGTAATTTTTGAAATTTTTGGTTGCCTCAGCTTTCTTTAATCTAAGGAGAGGAGGGGTGTTTAAATCATGTGACTGCTTTTTTTAATCCAGATAAGTAATCTAATCAGTCTCGGCTGATGGCCGGTAAAACTGGGGCTGACCAAACAATTGAAGGTGAGGCTGTGGGGGAAGGAAGGTGAGTGTACCTATTAGAAGGCAAGAGCCTTAAAAACTCCAGGGCTGTTTAAAACTACAGGTGCATTACACGTACTTAAACCCTTAACTTACTAACATTAGGTACTTTATTTAGGTACCTAACCTTCAAACATTTGAAGGTTAACAGACTTACTAAGGCACTTACCTAAGGTTTTGCGAGAACCGATCCAATTAAAAAGCAAGAACGTAAGGTGCCACAAAGCGTAAAGCACCAATAGTTGGTGTATGTACCTAGCTACATTGAAAGATTGTACCTGCCTATTGAGATTTCGAACGTCTAGCAGCACTGGCCTTGCGAAAAAAGGCCAGCAGTAGGAAACGCAGGAAACGCCAACAACAAAATATCGCCGGCCACTTCTCTGAACTCACCAACAAACAACTTCACCACGGTGAAATCCCACCCAAACCCCGCCACGCCGATTCTGCCATCCGCTTTATTTCTAAGCCCACACAGCATTATTTACCGTGGCAACGGCAGACATATTCCCATACGTATTGTGGAATTGTAGCAGCAATCCGCTTCGGGTTCGGACTGTCGCCAATTTCCACTTTGGAGAGGGGCAACACGGTGACTTGGCCTTCACCAAACAAACCATAGTTGATCATTCACCCATTAATCATATTTACAATTCAACTGGTATTATTATTGTAAATTCTAGGACGACGTGACAACAAGTACGGAAGCTATTCGACGCCGACTTTACCCCCCCCTCTTCTTCCCCCCCGTGGTAGATCGCACATGACGCCCTTTACCCTCGCGTCGTAATCTCGCCTCCCTTATTCGAGATGCCTAGTAAAAACAATAAACACGCACCCTCACAGGGCTCTGCACAATCTGCACCGAAGTCAACAGCGAAATATACCAATAAGGATGGCACAAAATATATTTCCGTTCCGAAGTCCTCAGCTTCCACGCCGCCCGCACAACCGTCACCAACAACCACTTCATCCTCAAGGGGTGGCGGCGCTCCGACCAACCCCCCTGTTGCCGCCCATGTACCTCCTGCGCAGCCTGTAAATCGTAAGAAGCAAAAGCGTCGAGCGAAAGCTGCTGCGAAAGCCGCTGCAGAACAAGCCGAAGCCGAAGCCGAAGCAAATGGACTCCCTAGTCCTGCGTCCACAAGCAGCGCGCCTTTACCTGTTCCGTCGGAATCGCGGATAAATAATTTGCACAACTCTCGAGGTATCATTTCCAACGAGAATCATCATTCTCATATTCATACCCACAATGGGGAAGATTGGGGCGATGATACCGAAAGTGATGAAGACGATCTAAACGATTACGCTCAACCTTCCAATGGAACTACGCAGAAAGGCAAGAAGTCCAAGAAAAAGAAGAAGAAGGGTGTTGCGGAGGAGCCTGTCAATTCTAATCCTTCTGGAATATCTAAAGAGAAGATATGGAATACGTCTGGTCCGGAAGAACGAGAGAGGATAAAACAGTTCTGGTTAGGCTTGGGAGAGGACGAAAGGAAATCTTTAGTCAAGGTTGAGAAGGATGCTGTACTCAAGAAGATGAAGGAGCAACAAAAGCACACCTGTAGCTGCTCTGTCTGTGGGCGCAAGCGAACCGCGATCGAGGAGGAATTAGAAGGTCTTTACGACGCATACTATCAAGAACTAGAATCGTTCGCGAACCAACCTCACCACCACCCAAACGCACCGTTTTCCCCGCCTCCGCCTCCCAGATTCGGTCCTATGAGCGGATTACACCCCCCCGGAGCCCCTCTATCGAGATTTTCTAATCATCATCATCCTTCTCACGGCCGCATAGTTGAACACGTGGATAACGACGAAGAGGAGGAAGAGGACGTCGAAGAATATAGTGACGTCGATGGACTAGATGAGGAGGAGGATGAAGAAGAGGAGCCGGAGGAGATCCCTCGCGAATCGTATGCTAACGATTTCTTCAACTTTGGCCAGAGTCTGCAAGTAAAAGGTAAGATCCTGTCTGCGAACCGCTACTTGGTATCTGTGTCCAACGTGGTTGAATAACATGTTCTTAGGCGGAATTCTTACGGTAGCAGACGATTTACTTAAAAACGACGGCAAGAAGTTCATTGAGATGATGGAGCAACTCGCAGAGCGCAGGATGGCACGCGAAGAGGATGCGAAGGACCACTACGTGGGTGGGTATGGCCATGGCATCAATGGCAATTCTATGCCTAATCATAATCACCCTCCCCCTGAAGACGATGAGTTCGAGGACGACGAAGAGGAAGAGGAGGAATATGACAGCCAGGATGAAGATTACGAGGAAGAAGAGGTATCTAGTGACAGTCCAGTTTAAACATTCCCCTTGCTGATAATATGTAGGACACAATGACTGAGGAGCAACGCATGGAAGAGGGTCGTAGGATGTTCCAGATATTCGCTGCCCGCATGTTCGAGCAAAGGGTGTTGACAGCTTATCGGGAAAAGGTGGCCAGGGAGCGACAAGAGAAACTTCTCGAGGAATTAGAAGAGGAAGAGACTCAGGAATCCCAGCGGAAAGCTAAAAAGGCAAAAGAAGCCCAGAAGCGAAAAGACAAGGCCGCCCAGAAGAAACAGGCACAGCTTGAAGAGAAAGCGAAGCGGGATGCAGCGAAAGCAGCCGAGGATGCAGCTCGTCTAGCCGACGAAACGAGAAAACTCGAGGAAGCTAGGCTTAAGGCTGAAGAAAGACGCAAGAAGAAGGATGCGCAGAAGAAGGCTGAAGAAGAGGAGCGACAAAAACGAGAGCTAGAACGGCAACGACGCGCTCATGAGCAAAAGGAAAAGCAATTGGAACAGGAGCGAAAGAAAGAGCGCGAGAAGAAATTGAAGGAGGAACAACGACGCAGGGAGCAAGAGGCTCGTGAGCTTAAGGAGCGCGAGACTCGAGAAAGGAGAGAGAAACACGAAAGGGACAAGAGGGAGAAAGAGCTTAGGGCGGCTCAGTCCAAGGCGGAGCGTGATGCCAAGGAAAAGTCGAAGCAAGAAGAGAAAGAGAAGGCTGCGGCCAAAGCTGCGACTCCTGCAGCTCCTATTCCCACGCAGCCGGCTAAGAAACAACAGCATCCTGTGTCTATTCCCGCGCTTCCCCATCAACCTTCGACCGGTCACGCGTCGAATCATCCCTCCCCCCAAGTTGCCGTTGCAACTCCCGCTCTTCCTAAAGCCCCTACGCCAATGAAACCCCGATCCGCATCCCAGGAAGTGACAAGATCGGTATCCCAAGCTTCTCATTCCGCCTCTGGTCCGAGTCAGAATGCGTCGCCGCACACATTAACTCCGCTACACACTAGTCCGGGACCTATTGGGCCGCCAAGAAAGATTTCGTCTACAGGCCCGACAAGTGTGGGTCCTCCCGGTGCCCAGCCAGCCTCTCCTCTTCATACAGGATTTAAGAGCCCCTCCGTTTCGCATCAAGGTCCGTTTAATATGGGACTGCCTATGCAATATCCTCCTGGAATAGCACCACCGCAGATTCCTCCGCCGGGCTTCAACCGGATGCACGAGCCTATGTATCCGCCTCCCGGAAACTTTCGGCCAATGGGCATGCCAGTACCACCTGGCTTCTCTGCGCCTAGTCCTATGGGTGGCAGGGCATTTCCTATCCCACATGCGCCGCCTGGTTTCCATCAACCAGTAGAGCAACCTCTACCTGGTATGCATCATCCAGGCTTCTCTCCGGATAGCACATCAGGACAACCGCCGTCGCATTCCCGTCAAACTTCCGCATCTTTTGATACAAATCCCCTAGCTGGCGCCGCGTCCCAGCCGATCGGCCGGCCGGCTCCTATAGGTAGACCAGGGAGTGTGGTCCACGGACAGGGAAGCCAGGACCTTACAGCCGATATCGATGACGTGAGCAATCACCTCGGAAGCAGTGCTTTACTTGAAGATACAGACGAACCTTTCGGAGACGTCAATCCTTCTCGACGAGGTACCGCCGCTCCAGGAGCTCGAGCTCCGTTCCCCAGCGCGCCGTTCATAGATCCCTTCATGGGTTCTCCATTGAATGCCGCGTGGGGTCCTACGACTTTGTTTTCTCCTCCACCCGGTTTTGCCAACCCAGCTTGGCCTACGTTCAGTGCTCCGGCCCCTAGTATACGGCCTGCTCAGCCTCGATCTATTGCAATCCGTCGGATGCTTATCTCTGCATGCAAAGAGCTAGAAGCCCACGCCGCAGATGGCTATATAGAGCTGCCTGCCATCAAAGGGCATATCGACAATCTTAATTTACAAGGACAGGAACCTGTATCTGAGAAAGAATTGTTAGATATGTGCGACACCGAAGGTAACCTGCATAACGGAGGCGGAAGCTTCAGCATTCAACGCGTGGAAGGTGGAAAGGTTTTGATCCGATACGAACCTGACCCTCCGTCGGCTTCAACTTCCTTCAATCGAAACGTGGGCGCTCCTGGTGAGATTGGTAGCCCCATCGTAGGAGCTGGCTCGCCTCATCATTCTACGCCTGGTGTTTAGTGGGCTCGCAGCTTTACTAATAAGTGGAGCGCATTAGTTAAGAAGGATAATAATAGTGCGAATGGCGGAAGGGGAAGGCCGTGATTAAGATAAGGATGATATGGGATTCTTATTATTCTCTGCTACGTGGAGCCGGAGGTGGGTTCGGTCTCCAGGTAGCAAGATGAATTGTTTTCTCGTGTACCTTTTGGGGCCGTTTGCTTAGGTGGGTGAGCATCGTTTGCAAATGGCGCCTTTTGTAACCAAGTAAAGATTCGGCATTTTTAAGTTATCCATCCCTCCCTGCTTTTCAGAGGGATTCGCAAAGAAGTTGTTGTTATTGTCATTGGTATTCGAGAAGCATGCACCACACATTGATCAAGGGAAGGGTGGAATAGTGCTATGCTTGCTGGCTATGCTTTGCGTTTGAGGAGAGGAGAAAGCTGCATGGTGTGTTTAATCGCATTGCTCTTCGGGACATCTCGGTTTCGTGCCGTTATTATGAAATGGGAATCGCGTTGAGCATCTGTAATTATGTGTTCGTCTTAAAGTGCCTTGTAATATGATGTGAATTCGTAGTAGGGTAATTGAGGTTGAAGATGAGGTGGAAGTGTCTACTGGTGGTAGTTATACCGACCCGGAGAATATCACAACCAGCAATATTAAAGGGCATACCTGATCACAACAGACACTTTTAGGGTGTCACCTTCTTGAGTACCCATCACTTATTAGACATCGAATTATTGCCAACAATCCTAGGTTAGAGGAGCACCAGAAGATGCATCTACTTCTTTATCACTTTGCCAGTTGTCAAGAGAGAATTAAAATGCGACAGATATCAGTTCATAGAAAACTGATTACAACGCAGATCCTATAATACTAGCGCCAAGAGGTATCAAAAAACAAGCATCGCAATGTTTTATGAGTCCAAAGAGTCCTAATCTCCGGCTCCCATTACTTTCAACATGCTGACTGCCTTATAATTGCATTCATTCGTAACATAACGTGGTATCGTGGTTATCCGAGCGTGATCCTGAATAGAATGGCGCATCCATGGTATCCACACCTCCATCCATCAATTCATTCACCCGGCTTCCTGTACATATATATTCAACCGTGTATTTATATATAAAATACTTTGGTATCTTCCAAACTACACAATCCCCAACTCCTGAAATAGCAGAGACGGGATGGGTTAGGTATCTATCTATCTACCTAATAGTGCGTCCCATCCGCAAACGGATTCCCACCAGGCGCAGGACTCTTATCCCGCTTCGTCGGCAGAACTTCATCGATCTGCGGCGCGATATCCGTCGTGCTCTTACTCAACGCACTCGCCTTCGCGATCTGCGCCGCCTTCTGTCGCGCGCGGAGCTTACGCTCCTCGCGCTTGTCGCGGCAGCAGAAGAATATCAAGGTAGCGAAACCGACGGCGAAACATACGGCTAGGAATATAGTTACGATTAGCGCGCCGGTGTCGAGACTATCTTTGCGTCGCATGCAGAGGTTGTTCCCGTCTTTGTCGACGGAGCATATGTTTTCTGCTGCGCAGACTTGCGTCGGTACTTCGGTTTCGAAACATGGGAGTGTGGAGCCCGAGTCTGTGCCGGTGGATTGGATGGGGCATGAGTTGGTTTTGGTTAGTTTTTCGGTGCTGCATTGGATTGTGGGTGTGAAGGCTCCTGCGGTGGCGGATGGGGATGTTGCGGCTGTTGTGTCTTGCGGGACGGGGATGGGGGCGGGTGTTGGTGCTGGTGGCCTGTTAGTTACCTAGATATTTTTTTTTATAAGCGCATATGTGAGATTTACCTGGTATAGGTTCAGGATCACGTCTCCTGAGCTCAGCAGCGGATTGTCCGCTCTCGTCGCAGTTGTGTAGGATATAGCGAGCCTCGATACCGGCCTCGGCGGTTGTGCATCCAGCGTTACGGAAGCAGAGCTCGAGATCACCAGGCTCGATGAATGACGGCACATGACGGAAACAGTTTTCCAAAGAGCCCTTGTCACCGCAAGCTGCGGCTAACGAGAGGTCGACGGCGCCGCTGCGCACACATACCGAACGATCCGCTGCTGAAGCTGAGGTTCGGCGACCTGCGGCGGGGTTGGCGGCAAGGGAGGAGCCGGGTAGGAGAAGAAGGAGGGGGAGAAGAGTAGATGGTAGCGCGGCTGCGCCGGATGGCCTGGGGATTTGCATTTTGGAATGTAAATCGAGGATTTTGAGCTTCAAATAGTGATAATAAGAGCTGATTTGCTGTTGAGATCTAGAACCACTTATTCTGGCGTGTAAGTTACCTAAAAGAGTAGGTATAGGTACTTTGTGGGTGAGATATTTGAGTTGTGTTTTCCCTTCTAAACCAGCAATTTGAATAACACTCGCGGTAAGGCCAACGAGACTGCTGTCCAACGTAGAAACAATTTCCTCTTCGGCTTGTTTCTTCCAAAATGTCCAATCCTCTTACGATGGTGTTGATGACCCAATAAACATTCAATCAATGAGAACCTTACTAGTCGAGCCACGCAAGAGGTGAGTCCCTGCGTAATAAGGCTGACCAGGAAAAAAAAAAGGAGGAACCCAAAGAAATCGGAAAGTAAACGGAGAAGAGAAAAGTTCAAGAAGGATTTTTTTCAAAAAGGTGCACGGGAGTATGGGTTGAATTATGTATGTAAGAAAATGGCATCCTTCTGCTGGCGGTCCAGATGTAGCCTAGGCTAGTCAGTTCAAGTCCAGTCCAGCCCCGTCATGATGCTTTTTTGTTCTAGGGTCCAGTCGCCATCTCTCGTGTCTCTTTTTTTTTTCGACAGGGTCTAATGACTAGGGGACTATTCAGCTACCAGCTACTACTACTATGGAGTACTACCCACTGTAGCTATTTCTGAGTTGGCTAGCTAACAGCCAAGTGCCTATTGCTAGGTAGCATGTAGATAGGGTCCCCTAGCTGTTAAGTACATAGGCTAATGGTAGAATTGGGGGAAATGAGATTCTGAGGCTTTGTAAATTTGAGACCTATTTTGGTGCTTACCTGCGCATGACGGGGACGAATCATATTCGATTCTTTCAGTGAAATGCTGCGGAAGCTGCAGATTCTGCGGCCACCCGGACGGCGCAGTCAGCCTAGGACTTGAATATTGATTGGATATCTCTGACGAGGACGGGACGATCCCATTGGAGAAGCTTGAGTCAGGTCAGTTTTAGGTCTTAATAGAATAGATAAAGAAGATATGATATGATGATCTGTGTCTAACAGGTTACATGTTACTTATTTTTTATGCTAGATATGGTAAACGATCTAGGTACATGTAGATATCCTACATGTTTTAATTGTTGTTAGAATTTCGTTCGGTGAGGAAATCCTAAATTCATCCACCAACAAATATACTTCTACGATTATAATAATGTTGGCTTGGCTTATTTCAAGTTAGGCTGTTATGATTATCGGATAATGCTCTTCCTCTGCATGTCATCCCCATGATACGTACCATTTGATTGCTGATCAATTATGGATCTTTTCTACATTATGTAGGATTGGAACTTTGTTACGAGATAACCTATGGGATCCCCAGAAAACTTCACTTTTTCGTGTAACCATATACATTATTCGTATAAATCGGTACCTTCCACCAACGTCAATGCGAACGTCAAATAAATTCCCAACCGAGAAACCGAAGACCCCTATTCCCAGGCATCTTCTCTTGGCAATGCTTGTTGGTTTTTAAACCCCCTATTATTAAATAATACCCATGATAACTTCTTCCTTTAGAGCAAACGTACCGCGACGGGGGATGTTTAAGCGAAACACACTAATATAAATCAGGAAATAAGGCTGTACACCCTTGTCAATTGCGGAGGAGCTAACAGTGGCTGAGCCAAGACGTAGAAAGGCTTAGAGGGACGAGCTGAAGCGGGTTTGTATACCGTGGAATGTAAATGTTACCATCCGCATTCTGCCATAAGAATCATTTATTTCATGCCGTTTAAAAGCCGAAATCTTTTTGAAGCAATCAGAACTGCGCATATCATCAATTTATGTGAAGTATTCTGCATTTTTCATAATGAAATAAGTACCCAGGTATCTTTTTATGCATTACATAAGCTACTAACCGGTTTTGCTTTTTTTGCGGGGTGGGCTTGCGTTGAGCGATATAACCCAAACCATATCACGCCGACGAGCTCTATTCTTAAGATTTCATCATTCTTATCTATACCAAAATTAATAAATATTTTACATTCTTTTCCATAACAGTACTTCAAGGAAATAGTCGTTCAAATTCGTTACATATCCCAATCAAATCAGTCTAAAATATAGACTCTTCATCTCTTTTCGTGGCATTTGTCGTGAAGCTGGTCAAGAGTACCTCGCCCTTCTTCTGATCTGGATAATATGGTTCCAGTTCCGCCGTAATATTCGTAGCAGAGTCGCGTCTTTGCAGGATGGGGTCCTCCTTCACGTCCCCGATTGTTGGGGACCTGGCCTTCAGCGATCCGACCGGGTTCATCTGAATATCTCTAATGATGAATCTTCCAGCGCCACCATTCGCATTACCGCAGTGGATCACCGCTGTCAGGTTGACGTAAAGACTCTTCTTCACCTTCGTTACGCCTGTCTCACCCTCCGATACATGAAGGGTCCACGGTCCGAATGTCTTATAGTTGGCGTGATTGACTCCAATCTGGTAAGTATCTGAAGATTGAAAGTTGTCACTGCCAGTCCAGGTAGTAGGCGTTCCGGTCAACCATCGTACCGTACAGTCGGCGTTGCTAGTTACCATACTATCTCCGACCTTGTTGACATAACCCATGGCAAAGGTAAATTCATACTGGATCCCAGGGCACATCTTGACTTGGCTCTGGACCATAGCCGCATGGCAACCATCGTTTGGCAAGTTTGTCATTTCCACCAAAACAGCTGGGTCACTACCACCATTAGCTATATAATGGGTGCCGGAAAACTCGATATTGTCTCCTATGGTACAAGTCGGGTAGGCTGCCATAGTCCAATTGACGATGCTTGGATACCAAGTGGTGAAGTCGTTATTGGTGACGCTCTGCTCAGGTACACAGTCGCCTGGCTGCGGGACGTAGCATCGACCATCGAGACAGTACGATGGGTTACAGACGTTACCGCAAGAACCGCAGTTGTTGGGGTTGTTGCGGAAGTCTAGACATGTACTGCCGCACTGGTCCCTGGGGCATCCACACTTTCCACTTCGGCTGAGAGGAATTTAGCACGTCGCATTTTACGAACGAAAGATTGCGATAGATGACTTACCACTTTGAGTTCGGACCACACTGTCTTCCACAGTTACCACAGTTCGAATCATCGCTGCCGTGGATATCGGCACAGTAGAAGTCGCCGCTGCTGTAAACACACGTATCAGGCGGGCTAGAGCAAAAGCATCGGCACATAGAACCCTGCGCCTTATAAAAGAGATCACGACCCGTCTTTGTCGCAGCAACACCAGTGAAGTACCCCGCTTGCGCAGCACACGCAACAGCCGGTATAACCTCCCACCAACTATCAAAAGCATCCAGACACGAGAGAATCATCATAGTGCCGAAAATGCCATTGCAGCTCTGCCAACCGAAATCCTTGCACTGGTCATAGCAAAGACTCTGCACCGCGCAGGACCCGTCGAAATCGAATGGGCTGAGGGACCAGTAGTCGCTCAGGTTGTCGCAGAAATTGCCTTCGCCGTATTTATACCCTGCTTTGGTCCCGGCTACTAGGGCCGGAGGCGAAGCCGGACACTTTGGCGCTGGACCGTCGGAGTATGAACGCTTCATTAGGCGCGCCGCGAGTTCCTTGTTGCGACGGCGGTGCTTAAGCGCACTTTGGACTTCGGGGATGTTGACAGGGAGCGCTTTCATATTGTTCGCGGGCGTGGTTGCCTTGACGAATCGACTTGTTGATCCGTCTGTGCTCCACGTGTACTTCGATCCACCCTGCGAGACGCTGATGCGTCCGTAACAGTCTACGCTGAAGATTGTGGTTACGCGGTTGTTCTTGAAGCTTGTTCCCGTGGATGCGCTGACGAGTACGACGTTGCCCGTGTTGGTCATAGCGACGTATTGAGGTGTTGAGGAACCGGCGTAGACTAGATCGTATACGTTGGACACGCCGGAGATGGGCTGTAGGTAGAAAGCGGGTAGGACTAGGGTCTCCGGGTCGAGAAGAGGGTCGCCCGCTGCTGGGGCTTTGGTGGGTTGTTGTAGAGGCCCGATGGAGCTTGATGTTCGGCTGACCATTGGTATGAAATTCTCGTTCAGGACGCTCTATGATGTGTTAGCTTCGGAAACCCCTGAAAGACGATGGAAGACGATGAAAATGTCAACATACGAATTGTGCTGCCGATCCTGTCTGCACTAGACATGGTGCCGTTGGGATGTCGGTGGGCTGACCGATACCCGTCGTGATTGGAGGCGCTCCTTCCGCAACTACAGTAGGGAGTTGGAACTCCTCGTATGTGTACGTCGAGATGAATTCATCGTCATCATCTGGCGTCACTTGGGGACCGGTTGGAGTGTATGGTGGGTCGTTGGTTACCAGCGCGGTAGGGGTTTCGGCCGGCGCGAATGTTACTATTGCCTCAGTGGTGATCGAGGGAATGGTAGTAGCTGGTGTGGAAGTATCCAGTACAGGTCCCTATAATTTGTTAGCTCAGCTCGCTGAAAGCACCGGAAACGAAGAGAACAGCCGACCTACCGGACTTGCGACATCCCGAGGACAATTGATATCCCAGTAGATGTTCAGGTTGTACGGGTCTGGAGTGAAATCCTTAACCAAGGCATTCTTGTACAGGCGACATTTACCCCCAGTTGCGAGTTCGATGGAAAAGCTTGTGCAACCTGATGTCTTTTTACAGAGGGCAGAACATCCGTTGAAGCTGTTGTCGGCGATCTTGTTAGAAGATGTGAAGGCTTGGTTGAGCAACGACCTGAAGCCGTTGACCTGGCATATGTTCGTGCTAGTAGCACATCCTCTGTCATAGAAAGTATTGTTGCCGGATAAGATGTGCGCTAGGAGTGTATTGCTATAACGCCTGTTAGTCTTTTGGTATATATTTATCTTGGGTATGGGTACTTACACAGGTAGCAGGTATAGACGGCAGTGGCCATCTTCTACTGCATAGCTCTGGCATAGAAGTTGTGATGTGCACAAGGCACCACATTGAGCTGGTACTGTAAAGCTTGCTTGGGTTGTATCCCAATAGGCAGGGAGGATACGGTTTCCTTTGATGCCGCACTTCGCAGCCCGCTCGTCTAGTACCTCGTTACTAGAGGCTAAACCAAGCGACGCTGCGAGCGCCAAGAAATTTTGAAGGCGCATATTGGTATCGAAAGAGAAGATAATATTTTCCTATGGATGTATCTTCACTCACCTACACAAAATCCTCTAACGTCCGAAGAGGAACATACCATCTTTTGAACCCAACATCCTCCCACAAAACCATGGTTCTAGCCCTGCCGACACGGGAAGCGATTCACGAATCTCTGATCAGCGGACATATGTCATAGACTTCGCCTGAGGAGGCAAGGACATCTAGACTTTTCACGCCTGCGTGCATAGGTACTGGGCAGCAATCTAGATTGCTCCGTGTGGCTTGTGCTAAGGGCAAGATGGGTAAGTGTCGCGCGCAGATCGACGGAGTGGGCTCTGACGAAAAGGACGGCGAGATCTACCACGCTAATGATGCTAAATCGAGGGGAGAAGAACCCGTTTTGGGAGGTTGTGTTTGGTAGAGGGTATTGTTTTTGAGGTTATGCTTGCATATTTAGGTGCTTACTTAGGTAGGTTCTTAGGGATTCAGCTTCACGGGAAGTGCCGTATATGGTTTACATTACGTGCATGTTTGGACATGACGAGTAAGGACTTTGAGTCGACTGGAAAGCCAGACTCAGCGATACATATAACGCCTACATCTCTTTTTCTCTTTTTTTCAGGCCTATTGCCATACCTTGCAGATCGCATCTCGATGTCGGTGGCTGACATCCCCTGATTCAGGAACAGTTTAGGTACCATTCTGGTCGCCGAAGAACTGTGTAAGGTCGAAATTAGCTTAACGATGGCAATGTTCATGATGACGATAATCTCTGAAGATCCAGCCCTTCATTTCAAGGCCTTTAACAGTTCAGCTCGATCTAATACGACCCTAAGTCTTATATCAGTAAGTGGTCGATACCAGTATAAGTAAAAACCTCTCACTAGTTCGAAGATCTGCTGCTATAGATTCAGCTAACGCCTCTTCGGTTATCGTAGCTTTGGTTAGTATAGGGTTAGATGCTGAGCTAACCCAGCTTTTCGGCTAGTATGCGTTTAGCTGAGCTCTTAGTGCGATATATACTACTCAGAGATCTCCTTCTGTAATGATAGCTTGGATGTTGGGCCAGCGCATTGTATTTGTATAATGCATGATGAGTAGGGTTGTCCAAGCGCGACTGCTCAAGCCACGTGGCAGAGTGAGGGAGACCTCAGTTACGTCCAGGATATGTTATGCCTCGCAAAGGGTACTGATATGGAGCTCGACCAAGTGTTACAGCTCGTTATCTGTTGATATTCAATCTAATTGCCGTTTTCAATGTTGGGTCAACTCCATCAACTATTGCTTGTTAATGGGTCGAGCTCCGAGGTTTCCACGCTGAATTTAATGCCGCATATGGCTAATTGAAGTGCTTCTGTTCCTATTGGGGCTTCCTGTTATTCAATTCGAATTTTACTCACTTCACAAAATACCGGGAAAATGAATCGATCATCGCCATTGACTCTTCACAGCATATCAGAATGTCTGCGAACTAGCAGCATGGTACATTTCAGCCATCCACTTAACCAACATGTGAAAATCACTTGAAGTAATGGTAAATTTGGGTCCATTTCTTATATCTTATGCCTAATTGTGAATATGCACACCCAATATCCTTTTGTGGTAATACTCCGCTGGCAGATCATGTCTTAAGGCTACTATATAGGGGGTTGACAACTCGGTTGCCGCACAAAGAAGGTACGGGTAGTTGTTACGGGAACTACCATATACATACAAAGTAGCCTCTTTATTAAAAAGTTCTTTTGTCCTCATGTCAGCAATACAGGTCCCTTGCGGCAGTAAGGGGGGCCCTCCCAATACTTCCCCTGATAAATCGCTTCGTACAACTAGATTACTGATAGATCAACTTGAACTATCGACTTCAACTTACTTTGGGCTATATGCTCCTATACATATGTATGTGCCCAATAGATTAAACGACGTATACTTTGAGATTTCTACCTACATAGTACATAGGGCATTGAACCCAATATGCACCCCAATGTGACGTTCTGCTTGGTAGGCGCAGGTATAAATAAGAAGCGATGTGTATCGATTTGGTGAGAACTAAGTTCATAGGTATGTATTTAAATTTTGATATCTTTTCCATACGCATGCAGTAAACATGTCGTACGCTAAATATCTGCAACCCTATACTCGACCGCCAATAACGGCATCAATATCCAACTCGCCAAGAAGAAGGCTACTCAATACAACACCTTCCCTAAATTTGGCGAGCTTCCAAAAGAGATAAGAGACATGATATGGGATTTCGCAACCCGAGACAGACGGCCAGGTGCGCACTTCTTCCTTGTGACAAGTTCAGAAGAAGAAGCAGATTCTTTTAATCCCGAGGACGAATTCAATATACTTCGCAGTCGTCCGGGGAACTTGGATATGCGATTTCTCGCACCAGTGTATCTGAGGGACGAAATGACGGGCTGTTCTCGGACCGCGCATAATCTCTCCATGTACCTAGTCGATGGTGGGCTATGGACAGCATGCCATGATTAAAACACTATCTCGGATGGTTTCCTGGAGATGTGGTATGATTTATTGGTGTTAATATATGTGAGCGAACTATCTTGGGATCCTATCAATAGAGTACCTCGATCACAATAATGATAATTAGCCATGTGAACCGTGTTTCGATGGTCTCTGGACTTCTCAATCATCCCTGATAAGTAAAGAAAGCCGCGCTTCAAGAATCTCCACCTAGGATTGTGCCGAAGGCCCTTCCCTAATTTCAAACTACAGTGAAGTTAGCAAAACGCACTTGCGATAATTGGTACTACATATAGAAGTAGATATGTGTCCATAGATACCCATCTTCGAGTGGTTCCTGAAAGAAGTTGGATGCTGATCGCGCATTGCCCGATGAGTAGAACCTAAGGGTAACTATATGAGCTGGAAATAGCGATAGTGTCACTGCACGAAGACCCTCGCCACTTTCAAGGTTCAGGTATTCATGTAAGAAAGGGCCCCCTTTCCCTTGACTTTTTAGTATAAATTTCTCCATAGGTACTACTCCTCTATTGCTCAGGGGCGAGGTAGCCCTTTCTCAATCTGTCCTGCGGGCAGCATACGTGCATTTGGTGAGACGAACTTTGAGTATAATTGTATACTAAGCCTTTTGCTCTTTGCTCAAAGGAACATCTTGGGAAGGTGCATTATCTCTTACGGTAGGAGTAACGAGTGGCATAACCCTGTGTACTAATCAAGCCGAGCAATCAAAGTTCAAGGCCTATTTAAATCCAACGCCGTACTCTTGATCCCTTTCCTCTCCCTCTTGTCCTTTTTCATTTTCCCCATCTTCTACATCTTCTCACCACCAGTCATAAAAACAACCAAGCTTCTTTTACACAAGAGATGCCTAGCCTCAACAGTAGATAGGCTATACGAGCCGTGACCAGATTATCTCACATCTCGCATTTTCATCTTCATTATCCTACATGACATCACTATTAGGAGATTAATTACGAAAGTGAGCGACAGCGTTTGCGAGGGTCTCGCGACGAATCAGCATATAATTCAGTGGTTCGTCAGATACATCCACCGTCCTTGGTTAAAGCTTACAACAAGCTAACAATACCGAATTATTTAGTTCGGCCCCCAAAAGGTAAGCCCTTGTGCTATCTCGGCCTACTCTACCCATAAGGGCACCACCCCCACCAAAGGTAGCATACTTCTACCTATACCCTCTTATAAAAATTACTCAATTAACTTATTCTTTAAATAATAGAAACGCAAATTGGTGGATGTAAGCTTAGCCAAAACCTTCAATTATTAGTTTTATATCCTTAACATGCATTTAGGACGGGAGCCCTGAGGTGAGAAATAAGCTTATACCAATTAACCCAAGGTGCATACTCAACTGCTTCATGTCGCAGTTCGCTCAGGGCAAGGTGGAGGTAAGTAATACTCCCATCTACTATGGGTCTAATATTGATCATTTACAGAACCTCACGGCCCACCTCACGGTAGGCTTCATTCATCTGCAATTGTATTTGGGAGACTAACTGATTCACGATTTATTCAAGGCCGTGTACAGCCTGATTCGTGTAGGTTAAGCCGCATTACTATTAATTTACACATATGCTAACGCTATTACCGCATTATAGGCCTTGAAAGAAGACTCTGGAGGCACAGGTTAGTTCCTTCTTGCACTTGCAGTTAAGTGGATGTGGTTTTGCCAACTTGTCTACTCTAGGGGATCGCCGAGTCGATGGTTGTACGTACATTTGCGTTACCCATTCCCTCACATACGCGACTACTAATATGTGCCATTCTTATAGGGGTGGGAGGACAAGGCCAACGTAAATATACACGACCCCTATGCCGTCATTAGCTATTCGTTACTAAGATAAGACAGGAGCGGAAGAAACAGACAACGCCGGAAGATAGGGTTGCGGTAGGTACTTACTAATAGAACTAACTTAATACATTGTACTAATATTGACATATAGGCCCGCCTCGAGGAAGTCTGCGCTGCTAAGGTAAGTTGGATTATTTATAGGCACATCTTGGTACTTACCTCATATCTACTTGGGGCGCGTAAGGGGATAGGAGACTACCTAGGTAGAAAGCAGGACGTGGGAAGTAAAAGCTTTATCCTAAAATACATACCTAATACAACGACACAATTGCTATCCTCCTTCTATGACCAACTTTGACGTGAAGTCTCAGTATTGCCGCATATCGCGCATGTCTTCGGCGGAAAGATAGGCGGCTCATGCGCAATCTGCTAGAAAGTGATGTTGTTCTTGAAATGGGAGAGGAGCGAGAGAAGCGAGAGAGGAATTAGATAATCATAGGTACAATCTGAGACAAGTGGCACGTGACTACCTAGTTCGTGGCGCTGGCTTCCGGAATGACGCATACGTCATTGCGTACGACTCGAAGCTTGTTCCAGATTGCCTGCCTAATCTTTATAAGAGCACACTTCGGAAAGAGTTCGACCATTGCGCATCTCTTCTACCACAATTTATAACTCTCCTACAACAACATCAACAACAACAAAAAAAAAGAGTTCAACTTTCTCTACATCGCTGATTTTCATATTCAACCCACACACTCTCTTAAGAATAGTCTGGCTAAATCTAGTCACAATGCCGCTTGTCGTACCTGGTATTAACTCGCAAGATGATAAGACCACCGAGTGGGCAAACAAGCTGGTGGGAAAGACTGTAAGCGACAACAGCCACAGCGAAACGGTATGTACGATTCTTCTCCAGAATTTATGATGGTTTATGAGTTACTAACTAATATATCAATTGTTTAGAACTTCTGTAAGAAGGATCTCCCGCAACGATGTCGTGTTATTCAGCCCGGAATGATGGTAACTAAGGATTTCGTCCCCGATCGTCTGAATGTCCACGTCAAGGATGACGGTACCGTGAGCCATGTCCAACATGGTTAAATACGAACCGTTAGTGGGGATGGAGAATACATTATCGCAATTTCAAGGCCGGATCAGATCAGTCGTTCTGGAAATTGGGATGTCGTTTCGTTAGCAGGGCGCGAAATGTGTTACAAGTCTCTATCATCTGTCATCACCTACCTAGGTACCTCAATATGAGATAATAATAATGGATGTCTAATCGTGATATTTCTCGCATGAAGATCAGCAGATCAATGACCTGCAGCATGCATGTCCCCCTCTCTCCATCTACGTGATGACTTCAAATTGCATGTTTGTCAAGATTGCGATGTACCTTTGTATTGTTAGATAGTTGCCCCACTAAAATGCCCCGCGCTTAAATCGTAGACTGCGGGGCATTATCAACTGCCCCTCCAGCCCCTCCAAACTTTCAGAAGCTTCCCATTCTCAATATTATTAGCAGGCCCATCATCATTAATACCAACAGTATACCTCCCAATTATACAAATCAATTGACCCTTCATATCCAACAAGATGTTTAAGAAAGAGTAAGTTCATTATTCCCTCCTTTCCATTCCAACACTCCAGTACAAAAAAAACTCCGAAATACAGACAAACAAGCTAACCCCGCCCTTCCTTTACCACCCCATCATAGAATATCAACAGCCCCCAAATCCAAACTGAAGTCCTCAGTCCAACGCGGTCTTCGCCAATCCTTACTATCGACATATCCCCTCCTAACACCCCATGCCGAGGAAATCATCCCCAAAAAGGGCTCCCTCGAGGCTATGAAATTGCCAGATCGTTGTACACTCTACGTTCTTGACGCGCAGCCACTGTTTTTTCAACATGATACTTCGTCTACGCTACTCCCGCATCTGCGGTTGGTGCATAGGTTTCCGGATGCGTTTCCGAGTATACGGATAGACCGCGGCGCGATTCGGTTCGTGCTTTCGGGCGCTACGCTTATGGCGCCGGGGTTGACGAGTGTGGGGGGACGGTTGCCGAGTGGGGTGTTCGTTGGGGAGAGTGGGAGTGAAGTACCTGAGGGAGGTGTGAAGGAGGGGTTGGATGAGGAGGAGAGGTGGACGAGGGAGTTGGAGAAGGGTGAGCCGGTTGTTGTTAGGGCTGAGGGCAAGACGGAGGCTTGTGCTGTGGGCTTCCTGGTTATGGGGACTAAGGAGGTTAAGGAGAAGGGGAAGGGTCCGGTTATTGAGGATGCGCATTATTTGGGTGATGGGTTGTGGAGGTTGACTACGGATTAAGGCGTACTGGAGTAGTTCGTGTTTTAGCGACAGTGAGACGGATCACAATGCCGGCGGTATCCGGCTACAGGCTGGGTAGACTACTTCGTTCAGGAGGACCCTTACGCTGGCATGAGACACGATGGCACTTTCATAGCACATCACAGGCATCATAGGAGAATTCCTTAATGGCGGAACACCAGACGAAATTGCTAGGAATTGACGATGAATAAAGGACAATTCTGCGCAAATAACTAGGTTGTTGTGGACTTTATGGCCTTGGACTTAGAGTAACCTCAATATCTACCTATATTCAATGAGATACGTGCTGAAAAGGTTGTTCGGACAACTTGCCGTATATTGAAGTTTCGGATCTATCCGTACACTGGCAACCGTTAAATTATGTGGGAAAATGCCGATCCGTAAAATTGCATTTCCACAAAGAAACAAGATTGTTATCCAGTCCTTGTGTCCCTATAAAAAAGACTCAGAAATGACATTATAGAACAGATATATACGAAGTAGGTTTAGATTCAATCTTTTTGAGTAATTTGGCATAATTCAAGATCATCGGAATTCCGACCGATACGAGGCCGATTTGACCGTCAGCATCGGAGTTGTTCCGAAAATATGTGAGCATCGGAACGCTCCGAAACATGTATGGACGGTCGGGTCCGTATTTCCGTCTCCTACGTAGATTTCGGCGTCTTATCCGAAAACAACATTCCACCTTCAAACCTTACGAAATATCATTGCCTTCCCCATGCTCTTTTGTGAAAATTTGCATGAGAAATTGGAATACATCAAAAATAGATGATAATTGAGATGAGGGTATCATTAAGCGAAAATTGAGCTGGGCTATATAATAAAATACATATGCAAACCCTACAATAATGGTGCGATACCATTGTAGACCTCCTATTTCGATTTTTCCCGCTGAGCTTTCCAACTCTCAAACCTCTTCTGAGTAACATAAGTCAACGTCCCAAGTATCGCCGCAGCAATACCAAGTAAAAGCACCAAAGACTTCCCCTGCGGATGCACCCATCCCACATTCCCATCCAATGCACTAACACCAAACAACGAGAAATCCCAAATTCCATGAAAAAACACGGGAACTAGCATCATCCTCCCTAGACTTATATCCTCCCCGCGGAAATCCCGACGTGAGGCATCGAAAGCGGTGAGGATACCACCCATCATATGCATAGGCGACCCCAAAACCACGCGCTCGATAACCGTCAACGCGAGTTTTCCGAAATTCGTGGTTTGTTGTACGGCGGCGGCATACACGAAGCCGATATTTTCGATTGTGCTGAAACCGAGCGCGGAAGCGGCGCCTAGGGTTATGTAATCGCGTTCGCTGATTACTCGGCCCCGGCGACGCGCGTATATTATACCGGTGTATTTTAGTAGTTCTTCTGGGAGCGCGGCGGCGAGGAAGGCGAAGAGGAACATGAAGACCCAGTATGACCACTGTGATGCCATTTCGCGTCTAAGCGCTAGGGTGTCTGGCTTTAAGCTGGCGACGTCATCTTCACTCCTCTGCATCTCCTTGAGAAAGGCGGATGTGGTGTCTTGGAAGAGGGCGAGTGCGAGGGTGTAGGAGATTAGGGATTGGATTATTATGATGGCGATGACGCCCACGGTGCCGGTGAGTACGTATGTCCAGAGGAGTGTTTCGGGGTCTGTTTTTTGGGGTGGGGGGCGTGTGTTGTTGTGATGGATGAGCCACAATGTGGGTGCTAGGATTAGGAGGGAGAGGGCGCCTGTAATGGGGGAGGAGATGGATAGGGTGATGAAGAGGGTGGGTAGCACGGCCCAGAGCAATATTTTCGTAGACTGAGCGAATGGATGCGGACTCGGACCCGGTGGTTTAGTTTGGGCGACTGATGCCATTTTGAGGTATTGTGGTGGTTGTCTTTGGAGGAATATGAGATGGCTCGGTGACGTCAGTGATCCCTTCGTTGAGCGTGAATTGACTCCTATGACCAATATCGGACGGATTATGTCGCTATTCCATGAGTACCTCGGATAGCATTTTCATTGATACGCAAGGCGAATGAAGAGGGCTTTATAGGAAGCGACATTGATATAATACGGATAATTTTGGATTATGACTCTTTGGAAATCACACAGAGTCGTCTTGGCGTTTAAGAATACGGCGTATTTGGCTACCGCGTAACTGCATATTGTCACCTAACGAAGCCCGATAGTCCATCAATGCTCTTAAGATGCATATAATCTACCCCTATTCTTCTATCAAGTATAATGTCTCGTATATCCGCATAATAACCCCTAACACCACTACATTCTGAAGGAAGACGTCGAAAGTCGAACTATATCTTCAGGAACTTCGGAGTATTTGAATCAGTTTCATTGCGGATTGTTATCATTCCGTTGCCGAATTACCAATTTGATTGTCTTGCTGAAAGTAGACGAGGGTATCCTTGGCCAACTAGAGGTAAGTGGAGTGCTCTAAACTACCGAGAAAAAAATGTTCATACCCTTTTCAGGAAGCACTTCGTAAGGAAATTTCAAAATGGGAATATGTAGAAGCCTATTATTGAAATAGCAATCCAGTCCTAAGCAGGATAGGTACCTGAGTATAGAGCAGGTTGGGGGCAGCCTGGTTCACCATAGAACGGCCAGGAACGCTGGAGGCATTTGAAGGCGAAGGACCGTTGGAATATTCTATAGATTTTCTTGATCCCAGTGCTTGGTTTGAATATACGGGTGATATTGTACCCGTCGGATGCATGTTTCAATAAAAAGGGGGAATGAAAAAAAGACTATGGAATTGTACGCATTGAATGTCGGACTTTATTTCCTATGAAACTCATCGGTGATAGGAAAATTTCGATATTTTAAATCTTCAATGCCGTTTACTCATTCATTACGAAGCCCGTCTAGTTTTTCCTCTATATTGGCGTATATACTGCTATTGGTCTAGCTTGAGTAGATTTGCTCCGAGGCTCGTAGTTAAAATTGGATAAAATCGGGACTCCTCCGAGGCTGATGGATATCGGATGGATCCACCGGCCACATCTTTCTCACCTCGGTATTCAGTCACGAGAGCAGAACACAGACAAATTGGATGGACTCTCGGCGTAGTCTAACATTCTTCGGTTTATTGGGAAAGAATACACATTTGGTCTGGTATAGACTACTCGCATAAGCAACGATAGAGGCTGGCAATCTAGTACTACCCTATCATCATAACTACGATGCCGGGATAGCAGGAAATCAAACGGCGTGTGTTAGGCCAACTCTAGAGTGTGGGCCTTCGCCTCCTATGCCCACATCTTCATATCGAAGTAGGAGAAATACTCTAGATTAAGACGAATCGCGAGATTAGTTACATAGGTAGCTAGACTAAGTGCGGCCCATTCCGCAATTGCAGCTTAACGTCATCGAAGTATGTGGATTTTTTGCTACAACCGGTATCATCGGCCCCTATTATCTTGAAATGAAAATCTTTCATAGTGGTTTGTAGGCATATAAAAGTATTTTGTTATGTTTTATTTGGTTCTGAGTCTTTCTTAAGTTCCTCATAAGTTCTATTTTCACCCAATCATCCACAGCAGGCTCACTTGATTTATATTTTCCATACCCAAATAAACCAAAAGAATGGCGGACACTATAACATTCACCGTTTTCAAGGGCGATAAGTCTGGTTCGCCGAAACAGGCGACTACGACCAAGCCCAGACAGCTCTCAGGGGACGACGTCCTTATTAGAGTCACGGCATCTGGATTATGCGGAACTGGTGAGTTTAGACCAGAAATCTCAACTTAGAGCAACAGGTCACTAAAACTACTTCCAGATCTTCACTATGTAATGACCTACATTCCATATGTAGATTCGACTTTTTGAGCTGTTGGACTAATATCGCTACTAGAGAACCGATGACATGGTCCTAGGACACGAGGGTGTGGGTGTAGTCGAAGCCACCGGACCGGCTTGTAAGCTACTCAAGAAGGGTGATCGAGTCGGCTGGGGTTACGAACGTATGTGGTTACCTACACAAATTCCTTTTACTCTTTTATGGCTTCTGGGATATGGTTATGGTGTGGAGTAAGTGATCGCTGACTTGCTTCGCTTTAGACGATTGCTGCGGCTACTGCCAACAATGTCTCACAGGAAACGAGACATACTGCCCTCAGCGCGCTATGTACGCCTGGGCGGACCGAGATCAAGGCAGTTTCGCTTCTCACGCCGTGTGGAGGGAAGCTTTCCTCTTTAAGATCCCGGATGGGATGTCCGACGAAGACGCAGCTCCTCTTCAATGCGGTGGCGCGACGGTGTTCAACGCGCTTCACGCCTACAACGCCCAACAGACAGAAACCGTCGGAATTATGGGCGTCGGAGGTCTTGGCCACTTGGCTATTCAATTCGCCGCGAAGATGGGCTGCCGGGTTATTGTTCTGTCCGGTACCGAGTCAAAGAAGGAGGAGGCGATGCGATTAGGGGCACACGAATTCATCGCCACGAAAGATCAGAAAAAATTAAAGGTATCACATCTTCTCAATCGCTTATTAGTTACCACTTCCGCCCAACCGGACTGGGACCAACTCCTCCCGATTATGGCACCCGGATCGTCCATCCACCCACTCTCCGTTACTGACGGCAACTTCGTGATCCCTTATATGCCTCTAATAGCGAATGCTATAACGATCCAAGGGTCTGTTGTTGCTTCAAGATATGTTCACCAGCGTATGCTGGACTTTGCTGCTCTACACAATATCAAGCCTGTGGTTCAGACCTTCCCGATGACTGAGGACGGAATTAAGGAGGCGATGGATAGATTGGAGGAGGGTAAGATCAACTTCCGTGCGGTCTTGAAACCGCAGTGATCCGGTGGCATTTGTATAAGTTAATTGGTTCCACGTGATGAAGAATAGGAAGTGAGACAAGGGTATAGCGATAGAAATTCCGGTTCAGGGGTAGAGTTAATATGAGCCGTTTACTTTTTTCTCTTTAGGGATATTCAGATTCTCGAACGATTGGTTTGCTATATTCATAATGATAGAACTACAAAATGTATCAGGAAACATAAGACATTATATCCGAATATGCCCAATTTACTCATTCGAGTTCGGGGCCAGGCTTTTCTCACATCGGAAGAGAGCCGATGGGAAATGGCCCCACTCGGACTTTATCCGATGAACGCCACCCCCTGAGACCGACCGAAAACCCGCCTCCTCCCAACGGCAACTTTCTACTTAGGTACCCATCAAAATATATATCGTGAAATAATCGGTAGGTCCAATATAAATATCCTGATCGCCTGGATTATGCGCACGATAAGTATGCTTTCCTAGTCCAATCCAACGAGTTTCGCACCACGACGTTGAATCTTCGATCCGCATTGATGAAGTCCCCGCGAAGTTGTGCGTATGTCCTAGTTTCCTCTACCAATTGGGGATCTTCGCTATCGGAAGCTTCATCCCATGTTCTCCACCCTTTCTTCCCATCGATTTTCCATTCAATTACCGTGGGTGGGTAATTATTGCCTCCTTCTTCGACTGAATGATAGACACCGTCTAAAGCCAGGGCGAGCCTATCCTTATTTTCTTTATTTCCGGGTTTCGAAGAGTGGTATATGATTCTCGGGTTGCGACTAGGCGTCGAGTTGGGGAAGAAGGCGGGGTTGGTGAGGGTTTGGATCTGGGCCTCTTCCTCTGTGTCTCCCTTTACCAGATGAAGTCTCACAACTTTCGGATTACACGATAGCAACGGTAGGCAGAGATACACCATATCTACATCCCAGTGGGTCAGAACATACGGCGCTCGGAGTTTATTCGTCTGCGCGCCTAATTTGTAGGTCAAACGCTGAACTTCGACGCATGGACGCATCATGTCGTTCTCGCTTGACTCCTCGAATGGGAAGACAGATAAGAAAACTTGGCATGTTGACCCGATATCTCCATTGTTATCGATCATGATTAGGAGATAATAGATATACCGACCGCATGGAGAAAAGCGCATCTCTAAAGTATCGTTAGCGAGTCCACGGAAATAGATTTCGGGTCGAGTATTGTCTTACCTCTACAGTTAATAGGTGCTAATGATCTGGCTGCTGCGGGCTCTTCTATCGCTCGAGAAGAAATCTCACCGGTACTCAAATCGATGATTTGAATCTCATCGAGGCTCCGGGAGCACACTGCAATTTTGCGGTTAGGATGGAAGGCGCAAGATATTTGCGACCGGTCATTTAACCATGGAATCCAAATTGGGTTCTCCCCATCGCAACAGAGAAGCAGGCAATCAGATACGAGAGTTTCGCTATCTTCATCGTCGCTAGTATCGCCATCGGAGACACTCCATCCCCCATCCGTATCCGACGCCGAATCGTAGCCTGAGTCAACATCTTGTTTCTTCGCTTCTTCGGAGCGTGTGCTTGTCAGGTGGAATGCTAGCGCCGACCAATCTGCCGACGCGGACTTCGACTCCGTAACGAGGATCCATCCCATCGTAGAACTGTCTGAGGCGCGGCAAAGGTCTGGAGCTCGGAATGCGCGTGTCTTTCCTTCGTAATAGTGTTCCACTTCAAGATTGGCTAAGGGGATAGACCACGTCACTGGGTCAGTAGGATGTGGGCTGTGAAGCTGCTCGCTAAAACGAATGAGCCTTCCAGCTTTCTCTCTCCTCGATTCCATCGGGATAATCCCACTTTTGGATAGTACACCTGCAGATATCGGTCCTTCTTGCCAACGTGTTGTGTCTCCATCTACATATGTGATACACGCATGGGGCTTCGACTTTTCGTAAAACGTACTCGACAAGGCTACATCGGATGCTTCCGAAGGTACTCTGATAGCTGATATTCGCATGTTTTTTGACATCATCGACGCAAGCCCTGGAAGTACACGGCTTCCTGCTTGGTCTGTCTGGCAGTAGCTGCTGGCGGCCTCTGGGTGCCGAATCAAAGTCTCGTGCCATTCTCTGATAAAGTTGTATAGCATTCGTGAGATGTTGCATCCGCCCGGTTCGTAAAATTCAACCCAGTCTGGTAACGGAACTGCAATGCTGTCTAATCTACCTAACTCTCCGCTTTCTAGTCGTAGCGCGACGGCTGTCCCACGAATATTCGTATACCGGGCAAATAGGTGGGGACGTACTTTGACTTGCACGGCCAAGCAAGTTGAGAATGCCACACTCTCAACTAACGACTTCACTTCAAGGAAGAGCTCTTCCGAATTGTCAGCTTGATTGAGATGTTCGAACCAGAATGCGGCTGCATATTTCAAGAAAGCATGTTCTTCATTGTTAGCCAAGATCATGGGTATGTCGACCTTACTCTGGTAGCGCTTGAACTGGAGGTACTTTAAACAATACTGTCCAAGCTCCAGATTACCTTCTTTTCCGCTGATGAAGAAGTATCGCAAGTCGGCTCGATCCTTTGGTATTCCTATTCTGTCTAGGTCTTCTTTGAAATAATCCTGCACGGATTTATGCACGAATTTCACCTTGGGGTCGTTTTCTGCTTCATCTGAAGACTTCTCTAGTTTTATGAGAGATCCGCCGAGCGATTGAATGACTTCAAGGCAAGGCACACGATTCGGTTGGTGATCATCGTATTCAATTCCTTTCATGATAGCCAGGGCATTGCATAGCTCTTTCACGGTAAGTGGCTTCTTCGCGTATACCATAAAAAGGAAGATACGTCTATAGCATGTGATTAGAAATGTATGATGTTTTTGAATGATTGATTGGGACATACCTCGCAAGGTTGCGTTCGGGTTCTGCTCTTCGAGCTATGTTCTGAAGGCAGCGAGTATAGCAACCCGTTAGTTTACGTGGAAATTTTTGTAACTCATCGTGAATCTCATCGTTACAGGTGATGCCGTCTCCACATAGGATATTGAACATGAGGGTAGAGTAAAGGAAGTTTTCTTCCGAGGACGCAGTATAGTATCGAACGCATTCGGCACATGTTTGGCGCGCCAGTTTCTCGCCCCGAGAACTTAGGAACACCCCAATATCGTCCCCTATTGCCCCCGTGGGTGGGCTGATTTCGATAGCCTGTACTTCTTCCATAATATTTCGAATGGGTGCCTCATTAAGGCTGGTAAAGAACCATTTCGCTATGCCGCATGTGTCAAGGCGTGTGAGACGACGGAACATGGAGAGCGCTTTTTCTACATCGGAACATTCGTCCAACCCATCAATTATGATATGGATCCTCGGCATCTGCGCAATGAATGCTTCGACCACCTGGATCGCTACCTCGGGGTCTTGTAATTGGTAGGCGTGGTGCTCGACTTCTTCCTTGTAGCACTCTTCTGCTTGGTCGGGAATTCTTCCTTGGATTGTTCTTAATTGGAGGGCAATTGATCGCAGCGCAGTTAACGGGTTTTTTCTAGTGGGATCGTCATACGAGTATCGATAGTAGACGACCTGATTATTCTCCTGGAGATGATAAGCGACCACAGTGGATAGGACCGTCTTACCGGACCCAGGTGGTGCATGATACCAGGCTACGGTACTCTCCTTGGCTTCATACCAAGACTTGAAAGACTCTTGTTCAAAGATCCAGTTGCAAGTACCATCCTGGCGAATATCATGGATATCCCTAAGATCACTACGGAAGAGTAGCTTAGAGATATCTTCTCCCCCTGAAATCCACTTCGCGATCTTTTTCGTCAGGTTCACTAGTGGATCAATTAGTCAACTCCTTATAAAGCACTACTGAGGTAGTATTGGGGTTTCTGAATGTATTTGAGCACTCACATGCTTCGTTTTCTCGGGACTCCGCTGCAGTGGTCGCTTGAGCCAGCATCGAGACCGCCCGGGAATTATTTTGCAGCTTCCCCAAACATTCTTTCCACTCAACATCAATAGGCTTGACCATATTAATTGCAGCAATCCTAATTACTTTACCCCTATATTTAGCAATTATACGAACAGACATGTAGCGAAAGGGATACATACGGCTTCGATCTAGGATCTGAGAAGCCCTCTGCCAGAACACGATAATCGCCTTGTAAGCCTCAAGGAGCAGATCTTGAAGCTCTTCAGACTTCTCGTACGCGACTGAAAACTTATCGTAGCAGCGCAAGTTTCGCGCGATCTCAACCATGATATCGACTATCCTGTCAAAAGCGGCGGCCTGTTTGGAGGCCAGTTGTAGTACAAGCTTGGCGGCACCAAAGGCGATACCGACTTCAGGCGACGCCGACTGGGACATCTCGCCACATATTGTCATGAGGTTAGTGAGGCTACTTATGAAGGGTTCAAGTTTAGAACAGAGTCGAATGAATCTACTCTTGCTCCGCTTCTTCTCTTGTAGCTCTTCGATGTATTTGGATAGGTCTTGAGCATGCCTTTCGCACTGATTACTCTCACTAGTAGTCTGTAATTCATTTTGAGTTGCCAATACTTTCTCGTAGAACTTGGTCTTCTTGTCTTCGTCGCGTTTCAGCTCCGATATCCACTGCTGTAGCGCCCTCGAGAAGGGAGAGGCGGCTTCGGGCGGTGTGGTGCCAGTAGTGATGATTCCAGTGTCATTCATCATTGCGTCGGCTATAGTGAGGCATGAAACCATTCTATTAGGAACATCGGGGGCTCGAAAATGCAGCAGTGATGTATATCCACTCTTTACTTCGGTGAACGAGATCACCAGGATACGCTAGAATAAAATTGGGCAAATCAGACGATAACAACACATTAAAAGGATGCAGTGTCACAATTTTCGTCAGCCATAGAATGCCGAAACCGTACGATGATGTATTCTATGCGGGAATGTCCTAAACTAAATATACATAGATAATTGATGTAGCAACACCCTTGATTCCCTAAATCCTCTTGTATCTTACGTTATTATCGTCGGGAGCCTCGTGAGGAGCTCCGACAGGGGGGTTACTCAGGGGGTTTCGCCCCCAAGTCGTAATTGGTCATATGGTGAGACACATACGTCCTCCTTCTTAGGAAGTGTGAGACTCCCTTCTCTGACCGAAAGATCGCTTATTAAATCAATATCAGTGAATAAGTAATTCGTCATGGGCAAGTTCCCTTTATCTGAAATAATTATTTTGATTGCTGTATCCCTCCCTAAAGTTCCCATACAACCTAAGCCCAAACTTCTGATATCCTAAGTTACTATCCCCTAGAAATAATGGCTAGCCGTGGAGGACAATGCGAAATACAAATCCTTCATATCCGTCCAAAAGCGACCGAGACGAAATTTGGTCTAAAAAACCTGGCTGATGGCGGTTACGTATATGCCTTGGTAGTTGAGAAGAGATACAACGGTCAAAACGTTCTTGAAAAGACTGCCTTGCAAGTGAACTCACCACATCTCCTCAAGGTTTTTAAATCGACCATCGAATATTATCCATCTATACCAGCTGATTACAGTGTTCCATTCCAGATGCTATATCACTACTGGGATAAACTGCATGCTGCCTTGGATGACGACGATCTCGAGGATGAACCCCGAATGCATCTGAAACTTCTCCTCGGATTCATGAAAGCAGAGATTGGGCCGAGCAAAGAGCAAGTAGAGACCATGCTGAAGGCAAGGCCCATTGCCTTCTCAACTCTCTGGACTATATTCCGTCCTGGTCGTTTAGTATTCACCGTGCTTGACTCCCATCCTTGGCTACTCCGACTAGAGAAAACGGCATACGAAGAGAACAAAAAGCAAGGCAAGTACTTAGAAGTACATTGTACGTACACCGGTTACGACGGTCGGGCTTTTGGCCAAGCTAAGCAAATCTTCGGGATATACCAAAAGAAACAGTTTGCAGCCGAGAATCCCTGTAAGATCAATCAACTTCCCGTTATGCCCCTTGATTGGGTCGAAGGAAGAGAGATTATCCAGGAACGACTTGCGGAGAGGGGGACAAGGTTCCTCGCTATACAAGGGATCCAAGTGAAAGCTTATCATGGAATAGCTAGGCATTTGGAAGAACCTCCATATGACTTTTATCATCCGAGTATGGCTGAATTTGAAGGAGTTTGGCTTCCTCATACGGTACGACATTATCATCCCCAATTAACTTAAGACATGGTTAAACTGATCTAAATCAGGAGGGAGGGCGTGTGGTCCTCGACGAACGAACCTTTAGGGAGGAGAACTATTCCGAAGGCGTTTCCGTAAGCCCGACAAGTGTTGATGATAGATCGGAACGCATGCTTTGTCCCCCATTCTCTTACGGCTACTCTCTCTCCCGAAAGGAATGGTGTAAGCTTTATATCGATAGCCTCTCTAGTGTTGACTGGAATAAATCAGCACTAGATGATCTAGTTATGCAGGAAGATCGCAAAACTCTGCTAGAAGCCCTGACTTTCTCTCATGTCTTCCCGGATAACGTGCGGGATCAGATGAAGCAGAAAGGGAAAGGTTTAGTGGTATTACTCCATGGAAGCCCAGGGAGCGGCAAGACCCTGACCGCAGGTAAGCGACCCGATTCCCCGGATACGCACTAGGAAATGCTAATATATCAACCCTAGAATGTGTAGCGGAAGCAACTGGAAAGGCCCTCGTAACAGCCACTATGGGAGACTTGAACCAGGAAAATGTACCTGGCATATTCGAAGTACGCCTGAAACGTCTATTGCAATTTGCGACTATCTGGAAGGCCGTCGTTCTACTAGACGAGGCGGACGTCTTTCTGGAAGGGAGATCCGAGACAGCTGGAGAGGGTACTTCGCATAATGCACTTGTGGCCGTCTTTCTCAAATATCTAGAATACTTCTCAGGTATCGTATTCTTAACGTCCAACCGCGCGATCGTGTTCGACAAGGCAATGAAATCCCGAATTCACCTCGCCCTTGAGTATAAAGCGCCTGACCATAACATGCGACGCCTCATGTGGAAGCATCGCCTTTCAGCGATCCCGGCGGACGAACTCGATCTGAATATTGAGGAAGACGTGGAAAAGTTTATAACAGAAGACGTGAACGGTCGCGAGATTGCTAACTGTGTCGGTACGGCTCGGACCTTGGCTCGGCACAAGGGTGTCAAGCTAGCGCTCGAGCATATCCATATCGTGCTGGAAACAAGACGAGAGTTCGAAAAATGTCTCGACGGAATGCGGCTCAAGCGGCACCAGACAGACCCGGAACCATTCAAACTCGCCAGAAGGAACACACTCGAGTCGAATGACGACTGAATCAACCAAGAGTAATGAGAAATTTGCCGGAAGCCAGACGGATAGTACGAAGCCATGATGATGATAGATATGAATGGATCACTCGTTATTCTGATATATAGGCAAACTCAGTCTGTTAGCTACCTAGGTAGTCATACGTAAATCAGATCAGATGTTCACTTACCTAATAAGACGTAAGAAATGTCCCAACAACTTTCATATACTTCTCCCTCTCCTCCCAATGCGCCATATGACTCGAATTCTCAAAAACCAGCCACTTCACCCTAGGAATCGACCGAAACCAAGGCTCGACGCACAACTCCGAGACCTCATCATACCTCCCATTAAGCAACAACGTATCCACATTAATATTCTTCGCCTCCTCCTCCCCATCCCAATCTTTCAAATTCCCATCAACCACGATCTCCGACGGGCCCTGCATAGTATGATACGCCGTAGGATCATCCCTCAAATTAACAAACGCCTGCTGTACTTCCGCCGGCAACGGATCGATCCGACATACATGTTTCTTATAAAACACCGCGCTCGCGCGTTCGTACTCCGGTGTTTCGAGATTACCCGTACGATCGCCATCCTCTAGAATCCTCTGAATATCCAGCGGTAGCTCGGCGCGGTGTCGTTTTCCGCCTTCGACGAATAGGGGGAAACTAGCGGGGGACCCCGCTATGACGAGTTTCTTCAACCCGGTTGGTCGACGCGCGGCGTACATCCCGGCGAGCATGCCGCCCCAGCTCTGGCCTAGCACGTAGAAACCCTTAGAGCGGAGTAGTAGGTGGTCGATTAAGTTATCGAGCTCGGCGATGAAGAGGTCGAAGGTCCAGAAGGATTCGTCGCGCAGCTTATCTCGTAGGTGTGTGGAGCGCCCGCAACCAATTTGGTCGTAGAACACGATCGGGATCCCATATTGGTTGAATAAGTCTATAAGTGAGGCGAGGTATTCATGGCCCGCCCCGGGACCCCCGTGGAGGGCTATGAGAGGTGGAGATGTCGAATTCTTAAGGTCGCCAACAATTTTATACCACTAGAATTCCGAGTCAACACTTGAACCTCAGCCGGAACCCAACCCGACGCAGACCCGCCTCGGGCCCCGATCATTAAAAAATGTCCGACCGAAGCAGCGACTTACTGTAGTACAAACGCGCCCGCTACCCGGCGCCACAAAGGGGATTTCGCCCTCAACAGTAGGATACTCGGACATGTCGAACAATGCGTATTAAACCAATTCTTAGGAAATCTCTCAGGCCACAAAGAAGGAGCCGAGTCCTATTTCGAAATGAGGGGTAACTTGCGCTTGGGCCAAACTCGGAAATTCGGGGAGGATTCCAACAACGGCGCAGGTTCGAACAAAGCGTTATGATACTTATATTGATGCCTTCATATACCCCAGATACCTAAGCACTAGGGTTCATGCAGTTAGTTAGAATTCTTCAATGATCAGCGTTCTACCAGATCGTATTAAGGCACAGCATACATTCATGCACCGATCAACCAACATGCATGAAAGCGTATGGAGTAGATTCCCAACAACCAGATCGCCGTGCATGATGATGCTTACCTGCGTTATTGAAGGTAGGGCAACCTTGGAGGAAGGTTAATTGAATACGAGACATTCACGTAGAGCATCAGCCCCTAACTTTCATTCTCTTTTCATTCAATTTGTTCTATGTTATAAAGTGGTATCTCAAGTCTAATTCCCGAATAGAAAAATGCATCATCCCATTCCGTCTAGGAGGAAAAGTCCATGTCCCATACATGCATGTATCCCCATGCCACGGCCCTTTATGAAAATATTCGTAATGCATCTCTAGAGCACAACTCCCAGTTCATCATAAATAAAATCAATGGCTCATAAATAACGGCCCCGTAAACGAGAATCTGCAAAATAAAAGCAAACCGACTATTTGGGGCTGTTGAGCGACTTCTCGCCTTCGTCAGAAACATCGTGGACGAGGATAGACCCGCGACGGCGTAGGTTCTCGGCAGCCTCCTCGATATCGCGGCCCTGAGCTTGGATGAAGCGCTCGGGACGGCGCACTTGAGTGGAGTCGCGGTCCTTGTGGAGAATCAGGGGCGGGTTGTCGCGGTAAAAGGCGTCGAGGTCCTCGAGGGTACGGTTGGCCGTCTCTGGGTAGAAAAGCCAGATAATGGGCAGGAATAACGTGTTGGTAATCGTCCAGATGATGTAGAACTTCCAGCCTAGTTTCTGGATGCCGATCGGTGTTACTTCAACCACAATAAAGTTGGTGATCCAATTGGTCATCGTAGCTACGGCTGCTCCCTTAGTTCTCATGGGAAGACTAGATAATAAGTCAGTAAGTAGGATTCAAGGAAAGACTCTTTCAAGACTTACGAGTTAATTTCAGTGGGATATAACCATGGGATCTGTAGTCTAGTTAGTATCATTCCTACCCCCTTCACTTATGCACGAAAACTTACACCAAGCATTCCTAAACCAAAGCCCATGTAGTAGATGACGAACCACACAACGGAAGCCTTGGCCATCTCGACCTTGTGCAGGAAATCCGGCTTCTCGGCAAAGGAGAGCAGAATGGTCACGAGCAAGAAACAGAACAGTTGAATTACTGTTGAAACCATCATCATGACACGTCGGCCAACCTTTTCGACAAGGGGCGCAGCAATAAGAGATGCGACGAGGTACGCGACCGATGCACAGGCTGCGATGAGACGGGCCATGCTAGAATCGAGTTTGACAGATTCAATCAACACCGTAGGGAGGTAGTAAGACATGATCTAGTACAAGTTAGTATTTCGTGCCGATTGAATACAGCTGCCCGAGAGAAATTCGCAACTCACTACATTCTAGTTAGTGTATATTTCAATTGGAAGGGATTGAGGGGTGACGTACCATTAATACCACCAAACTGTTGCATAGCTTGAGTACCTGAACCGAGAACCAACCGGCGGATAGTCTTGGTCCCAGCCTTAGTGCGACCACGAAGAAGATCACCCCAGTTGATTGCGTTCTCGCGCTCATACTCGATGCTGTATACAATCTCGTCCCGTTCAGCGATGACGTAAGGGTCGTCAAGAGGCTTGTCTTCCAAATCAGCTAGAATAGAGTGGGCCTCGGTCTCGCGATCGTGAGCAAGCAACCATCTAAGATATTATTAGACGACCACGCCTTTATATAATTCTCAATTGAGCGAAAAACTTACCTGGGCGACTCAGGTAACCACGGGATGGTAGAGAAGAGGACGATACAGAAGACAAGTTGCAGAGCGAGAGGGAATCGCCATCCAAGAGGGCCTCCGACGAAAGACATTCCATAGTTGACCCAGTTACTCAGGGAGAATCCGAAGATGTTCAAACCCATCTCGAGCATGACAAGCTTTCCTCGATTGTGGACCTTCGAGGTCTCTGTCTGCCAAACGGGGGCAGTGGCGGTGTTGATTCCATTGCCGATACTGTTTCACCTGTCAGCTTAGACGTCACTTCCGATGCCGTCTTGGTGTAACTGACCCAGTAACAATTCGAGCAACAATCATGTGTGGAACACTAAAGGAGCTCGCTTGGAGGATTGCGCCAATGGTCATAATTCCGGTTCCAACAAGGACCGTCTTCTTCCGACCGATGTTCTCGCCAATGTAGAAGGCGGTAATAGCGCCAAAGAAGCAACCGATGGTGTAAATCGACGTGATGATGGACAATATGCTTGTATTTTCGGGGCCGTTCAGCTTATGGACATCAAGATAGTCCTCGGAGATAACGACACCACCTAAAGTTAAGATGTTAATACTGGTATTATTATCTAACGTATCATTATGGTAGCATACTGAAAACGCCCTGGTCGTAACCAAATAGGGTCATATCGGTAGCGCAGGCAAGCTATAGATTATATGTTAGCCTCGGCCAATCTATGATAAGAGAAGGGAAGATGTACGGTGATCCAGAAGGTGAGCCATTTGCCCTTGAGCCCAAAGTAGGGCTGATGCCATCGTGAAGTCGACATATTGATGTGATTCTAAGAGCACCGGCTAGCTCTGTCAAGTCAACAAGCTCTTCTTATTCAGACTTCTTATTCAGAAGAGTCCAAGATTCGTCTTTATATCGTAGAACCATCGAAGAAAAGTGAAAGAAAGTTTAGACTTGTCGAAGCAGAATGTCAGAATATGGGGTTAAGTTTAGAGGACAAAGGTTCATTTTATATAGGGTTCACATACATTCGCACGATAGGTACATTAGTACCTGAGACCCAGGAATTCGGGCTAGTGTGGATTTAGTTAAGTTCCACTGGCCGTAAGTGGGTTTGGGTGCCATCGTGAGGTATCACGCCGGCACTGTACTACCGCTAGACAAGGGATTGGTCAGGTAGGCAACGTATTAGTTTCGTACAATCGTCTTATACCGTGTTATATTTTCGTTAGAATTGTCCAATCATATAACAATCGCGTAGTAGTTGGTGGGGAAGCCTGGGGTTTGGGGATGAAGCCGGGGATTAATTGGGGGATGATTGGGGAGTTGTTAGTTGGAAAGATGGGAAAGAAAGAGAAAACACGGACCCGCATTCGGCGTCATCCCGCACAAATATCCCTCAAAAGCCCGAATGAACTACATCAGGTGACTCGCTCTCGCCGTGTTTAATCTACTAATCTACCTCAAGCCACTGGCAGGTGCTATCGCCACAGTCTTTCTTAGTCCGATATAAACCAATCACGACGCTCTCTTTTGAGTTTGCCCCCATAGAAGCAAATCTTAAACGCTGAGGCAATGCGGTAACACAAACAAATGACGACTGTGCCGATAAAGATACATGAATACCTCATGTACGTGCCTGCCTACATGTGTACTTGTATACGTGCACTACATTAGATAGAAAATTTATTCCAGACTACCGAAAATGGTACCCGCCTAAATCTCCACTTAGCTGCTTTTCTTTACCTTTTACCAGGGACGAAAAACAGGGACGAATAAAATGAACAAAGATTCAAATCTGGACCCCAATCGCCCATCCTTAATTTTCCCCCATGGGCCCATGGAATTGTTCGGTTGCGCTGCATTCCAACACCCCGAGATCTCTCCACAATTTGCATTTCGTTGGTACTGGGAGGCGCATGTGAGGTGTTGGGATTTATGCACATCAGCCGGAAACAATCGGAGAGGCGATCGACTCACATTCTGACCGAATTGATTAAGTGGCTTGGTGGCTTCGTACATACTACGTAGTAAGCACATTACAAAATTATTTCGAGATTGTTGCATCCATTTCTACCTGACGAGGCGGACGGGAGGGTTCCTAGGATAATCCTTGGTCGTCTAGGTCAATGGCCATGTAAGCACGAGACTCTATCCGTAGCTGGATAAAGATGTTACGTCATTTCGCATACTGCAAGTCACAACCGTGGGGCCCCATCTCGGGGAAAATGGGGGGCAATTTGGGGGTTACGGAGTAGTAGCGAAGAAAAAAAACTGGAGGCTGAAAAAGCAAAGGCCCCTAAATCCGAACCTGATAAAAGCTAAAAGCTTGAGATTGTTACACTGCGGGGTCAATTAGTGTAACTTACTTACCCCTGACTTGTCCATGTCCCCAGTGCAGTACCATGTTCTACCACGCTGCCCTGTAAAAATGGTGCAATGATAAAAAAATACCGCGAGTGACGCACATACAGAATATGCAGTGCGCACTTTATAGGAAAAGAATCGCATTATGATCCACGGAATACGCGATTCATCGACACTATTTTAAACCAAGCATAGTTAGTCTCGGACGACGACATGTCAGAAATCAAGTAAGAGTCCATTCGCCCACGTGGTATTGGCTGCATTTTTTCTTCATCGCTTGTAATCGCAGACGGCGGCATGAGTTAACGCGAGCTAACAGCATCCATCACTCCCCAAAACCAATTAGAGACCAATTAGGTCTTAGCGCTTATACCGTGCCCCTGCTTAAGCGCAGCAGTAGCCTGAACGAAAGACGATCGAACTATGCGGGCTTATGAAGAGGCTCTAACAGCTTCAGGGACGATCCAAGGATATAATAAAAAGATATTCAGGGGTAGATTTAAGCGATGACTAAGTGACAAATCTATCGAATTGACTAGAGGGAAAACGAGTAGAAGAAGACGAAAAGACGAAAAACCAGTTATCCAAGTTGACTTACTAGCTTGGATCAAACACATAGAGGTATTTTCTTCATTCGGAGTACTACCACGCCGAACTCCATAGGCACCTAGGTAGGCAATTGGCACTCTGACGCGATACTCTAGTAATTCAATCAGGGGCTTTCAAAAAAAGCTCTCATACAAATTACTTACCTCTATAATACAGACACATATTGCAGCCTTATGCGAAGAAAACTCGTTTGCCATGCAGCGCAGATACGAAGGGTATGTTCCCATTTGATATCTCACCTCTTGGCTTTGCTCGTGCGTAACAATTCAGTCAAGTTGATAATAGCAAAATATCAAAAATACCACCCGCCCGAATCCTTCAAAACGCAAAAAAAGGAATTCCAGCATCAGATGTCCTTAAGGTGACACCCGGGCGAGAGCCGACCATTCATACCATTGTATGCATGAACTAGCATCAACGTGGAAATCTTATCACTTGCCGAGAAATGTCACCTTCCCCCCAACCCAGCTGTTACCCTTCCATTTGGGTTATACGTAAATAACGTGAGATTTGATATCATTCAGCCTTTTTTTTCATATATGTGTCAGCCCGGACCCGAAATATCTTCTAGTCAGTAGCTGAGCTAGGCAAGGGAGGTTTGGGCATCAAGAATGAGGGAATAATGTGTTGCGCGTGTATCCTCCGTTGCTTCTCAGTGTTTCTAGCCTAATTTATTTCTTACGGCGAGTTGTTGGGGAGTCAAGATCGTTATAGTGTATCCCGAGTGAGTAATGAACTTACATGGAATCCACCCCGTCATCACAATCTAGCTTGCACGAGGCTGATCCCGATATTTGAGCGAAAAGGGATTACGGATAAAGGATATACGTAAATAAATAGTCGAAAATGATATACCAGCTTGTGCCACTACCACATAAGCTCAGCACCAATCAGAATACAGTTAAGGGAAGCTATACACCCTCACTACTCTAGAGTCGAAAATAGGCCTTAATCTAGAAGTGACTGTAGCACAAAATAATCCGGTCTTCTCTAACGTTGGAACACGTTAATGCTAGGTAACTACAGATCGATAGCGATTTTGTAGATATTCCAGACGTTCGGGGCGTTACTAGTACCGGTGAAGCAAGATACCGGACATAACACGACATTAATGACCAGGCCGGTCGGTAACGCCACCAAAAAAATTATTAAACGCCTATTCATGCGACTCGTATCTTAATCATGTTATTGTTGGGACCGGCTTTATCGGTCCTTCTCGACGAAAACCGGAACGCATCCAAGGCTTGACCACGTATAGAGCGAGCGACGTTGGAATATCTGATATTCCCAACTTCAAAGGTTCCGACAATCCCTGCGGTCATCAAAAACCGATGCGGTCTAGAAAAAGGCCTGTTGTAGGACGATCTTTGCGGCAGTTTCAAGCAGGCTTAGAACTTGGTCGAGCATTTGCCCCTTTTGAGAAAGAGGCATTCTGCAAGTCGAAATCCCTACGGATGCTTAATGATCCTACGACGATCCTGGCTTTATAGGGTTAGTAATCGTTTGAATAATATTATACGTATTTCCGACGAGTGGAAGTTTTTTTTTCATCAGCCATTGTTTCACCGCCCACACATCGGATACATCACTCCCAAAAAGCAACACCTTGTGTTCATTTCGGAGATCTTCTTCCAGACTCAGTTCCAGATTTCGTTGCTTTTTTCAAGGATATCATGACTCCTACCTACTTGGACATCGCCGGGATAGGCGGCACTTGATTAGACCGGAAACTGACGCGACCGTTCTCCTCGAGTAAATATGTCCTCACCCTTGCTGCTTAGCTAATCGTACATATCGCAATACAGAGCCGTTCCTGACGTACTAACTTAGACTTCACGGGTATAAGCGATGATGATCTACAAGCGATTCGTACAGTCGGCTTCGCGGAGACGGTGCTCTACCTCGACCAACACTTTGCTAGAACCCGCGGAATCATGGCGCTTATGGGTCTTATCATCATGCATTTCAATATGCAGCCGGTAGGTGAAAGTTTCTGGGATGCAATAATGCTGAAGAATAGTTATGAGTGGCGCGTATCTTTTACAAGGTCACGCAATGTTTTGGAGATCGCAGCCGAGGACATAATGTCGAAACTACGCAGTGAAATTACGAAAGGTTCTTGAATAAAAAGAAATCAAAAGAGTGGTCTTGTAGCAGACCAGTCGTTGACATGGTTTCTTAAAATACCAGGGTAAACTTGAAATAAAAAAGTAAAGTCTATTATAATAAACGAATCCATTCCCACGCCATAGTTAGTCGTATATCTTGCAAAGTAAGCGTTTCTAAATCGCCCTGAACATTGCGTGCATACATATTATGATCATGGAAAGATACACGCCCAACTACTTCATATCCTTCCCCAACATCTTGTATCAGCCTCCCATGAATGATTCCTCTTTTATGGAATTTTCCAGTGACCAGAACCTTGAATTTCCCTATCTGTGCAATATTATCTCTCATAGAATTCTTACCAAGATCCTCAAATAATATGCAACGTATATATACAAGCAGGCCCCCTCGAACTTCCCAGGTGGCCCAACACCCGAGTCCCAAGTAAGATTCTCTTAATCCCCAACCATCCGCCCATTTCAAAGGTAAAAGTCTAAATGCATCACGCAACTCTTGACGAAGGTAAACTACCTTGACTTCAGACACTTCCGAATTGATGTGAAGAATTTTGGAAAGGCTGTAATGTTCCAGAAGCAAATCGTCTGATGAGTTGCATATCATTTCTAGCGGAAGAATCCTTCCCGAGGTGTCTTCAACCCGGACCTCATTGTCAGAATCCAGGACTGAAAATGAACTGGAATCATACGCATCCCACGTAACCGAACCTGACCAACCAACCCAAGACCAACTGGGGAATCCGTGTCCTCGGCGACGCGCCCCATTCTCTAGTCCCCAGTTCATTCCCATCATTAGTCGACATCCGCAGCTCTTATGCTTAATGGCAGAAACACAAGGTTCTGAGTCGTCGCATGCGACCGAAGGAAATATCGGTACCCCGAATAGATGACGAATGGGATATTTAGCTTCAGCAAGTGAGCCAAGGATACCTAAGAAACCGTCGAGATAGTCCCCTTCGTACGTGAGATTTCTTTGCGAGTACTCTGATATATAAGTGAAGATCTCTGACAACTGAGTTCCAAATACACTGTCATGGAACATAGATACGACCCCTCCGAGATCCGATACGCCAAAATCTTCAGTAAGAAACTCTTCTCGGACGGACCCCTGACATTCGAAATATACTTGTTCATCTGTGAAAATCAAGCGACGCCTAGACAACAGTGCCTCTTGGTATGTCCAGGACCTAGTCATCCAGACGCTTTTGCGAATTGTTTCAGAAGGATGCGCGTGAAATCCATCTATTCTCCAATTCCAAAAGGTTCTGCTAGGTATCTCATCGCGTTCTCGGGATACTCCCGATAAGCCGTAATCAGGGTCCGATCCAGCCGCTGCAATGATCGTCAAAGAGGCTTGGTTGTAGATACGCCCCATTTGTCTGATCTGATCATGTTTATGGGTCGAATCGTTCTGGTTGATGCAATATCGATCCACCCAAAGGTATTGACAACCCAATTCGCGGGTAACTTTGATTGCATCCCTGATAGTTGCCGGGAAGTCTTCGACGCCCCTAGGTGGAAAGTCACAGGATTTCTTCGGGCCCCAAACATAGCTGAGAGCGAAATAATCATACGACGGCTGAGCCTCCACAATGCTCAGTGTCTGGCAATCGATTAGTTTCAATTTCGAAGGCGCTCGTAACCGGACCTTTGGAGGTTTGCAATTTGTATGATTGTAGGCACATCTTGAGAGCCACCATTGTATTAGCCAATAGTCAACGCATTTTCGTAGGGGTTTTTGCAATCTTGAATGGTGTATGTGCTTGGTATCGAGGAACGATTGAGATATAATCACCGATGCGAGTCTATTAATCCTAGGAGCGGTGGATTTCATCGGCCATTCTCTAAGTATGAGAAAACAGAAGATTTGCTTCCTACGTTTAAAGTTATATGGAAACAAAATATCACTTTTAGCGGTAGCTAAGATTAATACCATATATCCGCCCCTATCGGCGTCGGGATCTGCTTGTAGCATCCAGGAAATGACGTTACAGAGTGGGCATGCTGGACTGTCGAGTTGTGGGTTTTGACGTCTTATAAGCCGAACGGTAAACGCATCGGCCGGCTTCGCCTGTACCTTGACGATTAGTGAAGCCAAATCCGCCGATGTACATGTCGAGCATAGAGCGTGGCCGTTATCTTGTAAACCTGAACTGCTGTCGACGACGTCGGATCCTCTCTGCGTAGTGCATTCTTTCTCTTTCATACCTAAACATCAGTAAATGCTATTCTGCTATCTTCCTTTTCAGATTGCATCTTGGTATTTAAAACTCACGAGCTACAGTCGAGTTGCTATTAGCGCAATGACTATCCTCTTCTTCAAAGGGAATTTGGCGCTGGAAAATTCTTGCCGAAAGGAGCGAAGGCTCCAAGTTTTCTTGTGCATTCATGCTGACACTAATAATTGATGCTTTCCCGCCGTAGCTTAACTTGAAAAAGCGAGAACTTCAAGGAGCTCTTCTTTTACTTACAACTTAGTAATAGTATGTACCTCAGCAAAGATGGCATTACTGCTGCTTCGCCATTGCCTCGCCATACCTACTATGTAACAGTTAGGCGCCTATGCACCGAAAAAAGGGGGTGTGGGGTGGGGCAGAAGGTAGCATTTCGAAATGAGCGACCAATGCATCGCAGCAATTCATAAATAGATTACGCATCGTAGCAAGGTCGCGTAGACCTATCCCTGTCCGACGTCGCGTGTGGGGCTTGTCTCTGCCAGGATTGACGCAGGAATTGCTATAAATCGGCGAGAAGGATCCAATACCTAATTAGGTAGCCATCAAATTTTCAGGTATCTAGATCTTAAGCCCCCCAAAATAACTGTATAAATCGCTAAGCACTCTAGTATCTGTTGGGATATGTACCCAGATGCCATTCAATCCAGCTTAGATCAGTGTAAGAGTATAACCATAACCCATTCTGGGGTATCATAATACATCCACCCTCATGATATCTTAATAGACTATTTAATGTTGATATCCGTATTACCTATATTATTTAATTAGGTATTTATAATAAATTTATAACTATTATACTTATATATAATGGCATTACGAAAAGTAAGATCTTATTATTTTAATATTATTATTTAAAAAATTTATTTATGTGTCATAAACCAGTAAAGGATGATTGTCTTGGAAGCCTGGAAGAGATGGGGTGTAATAAATTGGTAGTAAAGGAATTATAATATATATATGATTTATGGATTTAATGGATTTAATTATGTAATTAAGGATTGATTAAATTAATTAAATTATAATTAAATTATAAGATATATATATGTCATGAACTAGTTTAAGGATAATTAATTAAGCCATAAAGTAAAAGCTTCCTAATAACCAATTAATTATTATTCCTTAATTTTATATTATATATATTATCCTGTAATTTAGAATATAATATCATACCTTTTTTTTATAAGATATATCCCTATACCATACCATATGAAGAAAATCAAGCCTCATATCTTTTGATATATATATAATATTATAAAATGGATAAAGTCTTATACCTATACATTAAGAATATAATATAAGGAAACTCTAAGATTCCAAACTGGTAACATCCCTGTTAACTAGGCCTCCTTACCTACCTATTATTAATATTGTTTAAAAGCTTAAAAAATAACAAAGCTTTTATTTAATAATTATGGGAATTAAACTTATATTTCCTATTTTAATAAATGAAATTAATCATTATATCATAAACTAATTTAAAGATAATTAATTAAGCCATAAAGTAAAAGTTTCTTAGTAATCAATTAATCACTGTTCCCTAATTCTATATTATATATATTATCTTATAATTTGGAACATAACAATATAATTTATTAGATTTAATGGATTTATTTATAAGAAATAAATTAATTAAATTAAATTAAATTATAATAATCTTAAATATTAAAAAAAAAGAAAAAAAGAATAATTATATAATTATAAATATTTTTTATATATTTAATTATTTTTTTTATAATTTTTTAATTATTAATTTAAGATTATTTTTTTAAATATAATAAAAGGATTTTTATTACAAACCAGCAAGGGATGATCATCCTAGAAGCCTGGAAGAGGTAAGGTGTAATGAACTGGTAATAGAAAAGCCATAATATATATATAATTTATAAATCTAATGGATTTAATTATATAATTAGGAATTAATTAAATTATAAAATATATATGATCTATTAGATCTAATAGATCTATTTATAATGTTGGTAGGTATATATGTAAATGGAATAATATAACAAATAAAACAAAGTAATAAGGGTGAGATAATGTATATTAAATTGTTTAAAGAAAAAAGATCTATTTACATGAGTAGATAAGAAAGATAATTTATTTAAAGGAAATCCTGATGATTAAATAGATTACATATTCTTTATTTATATAATCATTACTTATTTTATTTTCTTTTCATAATTAATTAATTATGAATTTATTATTAGCCACATATTTTACTTATCCTTTTAATCGTAAATTAATTTAATTATCTTCCATTAGCCTCTTTATAACCTCATTTAGAGATACCTTTGTTATAATATCCATGGGATTATAGTTATTATGAATCCATCAGATATCATCTATCTCTTAATTCTTATATAATTATCTTAAAGCCATTAAATTAATTATTAATCTTTTTTTATTAATATTACCCATCTATACCAAACATTAATATAAGGAAAAAAAGTTGATATATAGAATAAGAAGGATCTTGATAAACAAAAGATACTTTAGAATTATATTAATAATATAATAGATGACATAACCAATATCAAAATCCTAGACCATTCCATATATTTTGCTAGCAAAGACATTACAAATGACATACTTACATTTGGTAAATAACTAATAGATGATATTTCTAATAATCCAAACCTCATTATCTTGGCTAGTAAATCCTTCATTATCCAAGATAATGACATAATTAATTTATAAACTTAAATCTTTATTATTTATAAATGATTTATCAATAAAGATATATAGGCATAGGTCTTATGGATCTAATTCAATATAATTAAATCCTCATATCTAATTATCCATTTACCATTATATCCTAGTATTAAAAACCTTCACTTCTTTAGGGCCTAGTTTGAGGTATTAGACTGCTATAAAGTAGTTAAAAACAGTTTTAGATTAACAGATAAAGGTAATATATACACTTTTTATCCTTTACTCTACAAACTTCTTAATCATGTCGGGACTTTTCATATCTAAAAATTTAAGCTTTTCAGCTTAGTTCTTTTAAGTAATGGAGATCCTAAAATCCCTGTCATAGATAATAATACATAAACCATTAAAATCCTTGGATCTTAAGTCTATTATCCTTTAAAGGCATGCCTTGATTCCTGCCTTGGCAAATGCTGTATTTTTAGCAGTAAGAAAATCTATAATATCTATATTAAAAGTGTTATCCATCTGAAATCCTGTGATTCTGAAGGGATCTAAGTCCATTATTAGTAAACAGGGGTTAAAAGCTGATAATTTTATATATAACTTTTATTAATAATAATATAAATAAATCTTAAATTAATAAATGTCTAATTCTATAAGGTTATATAATGGTTTAATAATTTATAATAATATTTCCTTAGGATATTTATCTTTTAGTTTGGTTAATAATTATATAAAAATCATCTTTTATATTAATATTTTGGATTAAATATATACCATAGTTATATCCCATATTATAATCTTTATCTTTTAATAATATAATATAGGGATAAAAACTAATATTAATTATTAGTTTACCCTTTGGATAATAGGTGTATATATTATGATAAATTCCTTATTGGGGTTGCCATATCCTTAAATCATAAGCTGTAATTTTTTATAGGGAAAAAGGGTATTCTTAACTTTGATTTTATAAATTATTCTTGATTTGAAGATTATTGTACCTTAGTAAATTGCTTTATCATATATTTCAGATTGTAGGATATCCTTTTCAAATAATGTATTTATCTTTTTTATGTCTAATACCTCATATGGTTTACCTGGGGTAATTATCTTTTCATTTATTTATAGCTTAAATATAAGGGTGAGATTATTTTACTTTTTAGTAATGAGATATAGAATAGTAATATGGAAGAGGTTATTAATATATATAAGATCTTCTTTGGGGATAATTTTAAAATTATCAAGGTTAAATAAAGATAAAGGTAGTTAAACCTTAAATTTCTTTGTTGATATTGGAATTTCCTTAAGTTAGGTATATGATTTGATATGGGAGTTCCTAAATGTCAATGTGTTACTGGAAATGTGTCACAAACCACACAGGCCTACAGGGATGTAAAACCCCGGAGGAAACCTTTTTCCTTGCTGAAGTGGGGCAGGAGTACATAGCATGTGACATAGATGAATATAGATGAGAATATCCAGTTTCATTTAGTAAATATAATATAGATGAATATAGATAAATATATCCAGTCTTATCTAACAAATATAATAAAGAATAAATATGGATAAGGAGATCCAACCTTATCCATAAAGAAGATAATAATAAAGAATATCTATATAATTACCATAATTTTCTTATATATCTAATTATTCTTTCTATAATTCTTTAATTATGAATCTAAGACTATTCTTTTAAATATAGTAAAAAAACTCCAAGCCTTTTTAATAAATAGAATATATTTAATTACTTAATTTATTATTAATATTATTATCTTTAAATTAAGAAAATCCTAGATTAATCAATCTAATAATAACTATACCTCTTTAAGGTATAGGTTTATCATATTTTTATAATTTTTTAATTAATATTAGTATTAGATTAAGAAGTGGTATGAACCATCTATAAAACATCTCTTTATTATTATTAATTAAATCTTCTCTTATTTCATTAATCTTTAAAAATAAAATAGAAAACCTCCATACCTTCCAAAAATTACCTTTCAAAGGGTACCACAATTGGACATGGGACAAACTGATAGACCCTAACCTAAAAAATAAAGAAGAATCAGATAAAAAAGAATTCCAAAGTAAAGACTTAGGTAATTTACAATAATCCAGTCCATTACTACCTAGAATACCTATACCTGTTCATATCATTCATAACCTACCACCAATAAAAGAGATATTCTAACTCATTGATAGAATGGTACCTCCTAAGACACGCTTGTAAGTCCCAGAGTTGGAAACATAGGAGGAATAATAGGTATTTATTATTATTCAGTTCTTAAATGGAATTATCTTTATATAATTTTAACCTATTTTGGAAAATCATTTCAATATTACCAAAGAAGAATCAGAGAAGTCTCAATATGTTTTTAAGTTATATGAACATTTTGAAAGTAAAATATGGATGATGTTTGATAAATCACTTAAGAAGGAGGAAACATAAAAGGCCATCTGCCATCTCAGATAGAAGGGATAAACTGCACTCTATATGGCAGAATTCAAGCAATTTGCAGCTATAGGGCAATTACCTGAAGATGCATAATTCAATTACCTCTATGAGGGAGTGGCTACCTGGGTAAAGGATGAACTCTCCAAAGAAGAACAACCTCCCACCATTAACAAATATATGACCAGGGCAATTCTTCACGATAATAAGTTATACGAAAGATATAATGAGAAGAGGAGAAGCTCCAAAGTAACGAAAAATCAGGGAAAAAGGGAACCAGCCAAGATTTAAAGCCTAAACATAATTAATAATGATAAAAAACCCAAGAAAGATTTAAATAAGGTCAAGTATTATAACTATTAAGAAATAGGATATTATAAGAATTAATATAAGAAACTTAAGAAATAGCCATAAGTTCCAGAGGGAAGATTAGTTAATATAATAATGACAACATTGGGATCCTTAATCTTAAGAATATTTAATATTATTGAAGGGGAAGAAAAATAGGAAAACCCATTATT